AGGAAGGCTGGCACGATGCATGCTAAGTGCCACGGTTGTGAGTACACGCCCCAGCTGTCGATGGCTGGAAGCATAGGTCGAGTCCCAAGTGACGAGTAGCTACTAAGCAGGCTGGTGGCAAGGGCCCCTAAGTGTGTACGGAGTTCCCATGTGGCAGGCCCATAGAGCAGTTACACAGGTAACCACCTCACACGTTGCGCTTCACTATTCTCACGGAGCGGACCCCTGGCTCCCCTCGCCGATGCAGGAGAGCAATTATACCACTGACGTTGGGAGCTGGGGGCCCAATCCGCGACACTTGCGAAAAGAAGATAAAGGTCCAAAACTTTTCGTTTTCTTGAGTCTATTTATGGTAGGGTCGCAAGCACAGAAATACGAAACATTTCTTCATACACTAATCAGCTAAGCTTTTTGGCAAAAAGTGTAGGTGAAATGTCCTAATCTTCTACTTACAGAAATGAGCGAAGCTTTGGCGATTGCCGTACTCAGAAAAAATTATATTAGGTTGTCCCAAAAGTTTTGTCCGTTTTTTCAACCTATCATAAAAATACGTGCAACGAAGATAGGGAAACGCTCTAAGCACTATCCGACGCATCTTTTTCTTCTCTTTCTATTAGGTTGTCCGGAAATTAATGCACGTTTCTGCAAATGCAATTTCAAAAGGATCGTTCTTCTGTGTATGTGCATCTTTCGACCAACTTCGCATACTAAAAGAAGCCGCTGTTCATGCCCTCTCTTATATGTACTACTTCTACGACCAACTTCGTTTGTTTAGAATCTACAACCATCCGAAGATGAAGCTTTAAATTACTAAATTTGCCCTTTGCACTATTTTGACCTGAACTTATTCGGCAAGAGGGGTATTTCCATGATAATAAAGCTGAAGCAAGATATTGAGTGAATCTACAAAACAGACAGTAGCGCTTCTTTTGAGCGATTGTGAGAGTAGAGAAATTGAGGCTTCAACATGAATAATTGTCGCGGCCACTCCATGCGTAGAAAACTATTCTAAAGAAAGCAACCGTGGAAGTCTCTGCTCGTGCTTGAAGAGTGAGGCCAGTGCCGTTAGATATTATCTCAACTGGTACCTCCTAGGTTTTATTTTTGATGAGTTAATAAAAAAATCAAAATTATCGGAGATCACAGCCGTGGAGGAAACATCGAAAAAATGGAAAATTTTGATTCCGCAAATTTATCTTTCGCAGAAAATTTCCAAAAAATTTTCTGCATAGCTATACATGTAGTACTGGTCTGTGGCTATAAGCTACAGAAGTTTCTGGCTGAACACTCATAATCGGAAGGAGTTTACAACTTGCCAAGTATGACCTTGTCAAAAAAATTTCTTGTTACTTTCTGGCTTTCAGTAATTTGCTTGTTGGAGCTACAGTTACAAAAGAAATTAGCGCAAATAGAAAAAGACTTGCTGATCATAGTAGTTTTTACCTCATTTCAAAATATGCGATTTCAAAGGAGTTATGACGCTTTGAAGTGGGAATATGCAAAACCTGCATTAATTTCCGGACAACCTAATAACTGTCAAGCCCACACGCCGATTACTCTTCTATTCACTGAGATAAACGCCGAAATTTCGAACCCATGGTTTTTACTACGTCCAAGTTTGACAATTTTTCACAATCTTCATTTTCAACTTTTGGAAGATCTTTGACAGCCCTCAGATAGAGTAAGCAAAGGGCAATGCAATGCAATTATTTGCCATATCTAGCTGGCTTTTCAATTATTTCGAGGATAATTTTTTCAAAAGTCTTCACTTTTGCGAAGTGGTAAAATACAGAAAGGCCTCGAACACTAACAAATCATCGGATTTTGAAGCTTTCAAAAACCGATTACGATTATTCACTATTTTTACGAAGCAAATGAGCGTTTACCGCTTCGAAATATAAGATTTTGCATTCTAAGTGTACACGCTGGGGTGGGGTCAAATTCAAGAGTTATGAAAATTTTTTCGCCAAAGACCCCGCAAATTGGAGAGAAAATACACTCACTGGAAAGAGGAGGAAAAGCTGCATCGAATAACACCTTAGGTTGGGCCAGACTTCGCTGGGAAAGCGTCGTACGCGGCGTCCAGCGTACGGTTGGTATATTTCATCATAGGAGCGTACGCGGCGTACGCTGCGTACGCCCCTTTTCAAACGCAGTCTGGCCCGACCCTTAGTTGTGCGCCGTTTCATGGTCTCTGGCTTTTGACATCAGCAAAAGTGGAATTTGATAGCATCAGAAAAATAATTCTAAAAAATTTTCAAGGCTGGCTATAGATGCCGCAAAATTGCATTATATTGCCCTTTGTTTGTTCTATATAACTGTTGCCAAAGCTTTTCCGAAAGTCAAAAATAAAGATTGTGAAAAATTGCCAAACTTGGACATAGTAAAAACCATGGGTTCGAAATTTCGGCGTTTATCTCAGTGAGCAAAAGATTAATGGAAGCATGACCGTTAGAAAGAGAAGGAAAAGATGCGTCGGATAGTGCTTAGAGCGTTTCCCTATCTTCGTCGCACGCGTTTTTATGATAGGTTGAAAAAACGGACAAAACTTTCGGGACAACCTAACATATCATGGAATGCCAGCAGTGAGTGACTCCTTTTGGATGTCGATTTCTCACTCCAAATTTTCAAAATATAATCAAGCATACAGTAGGTAAACAAAACCTATCACATATCGTGGCCACGTTTTCAAGTGAATTCGTTCATTTGCACTTGAAACGTGGCCAACAAAGTGAACGCAATAAATTTCAATTTCGAGTGCTGGTGATACAGTGCTGGAGAAAATCTAACAAATGATTGTGGAGACTAATTGCACCCCTGTTAGAAAGTTCATGAAGGAAGCTTAGATGATATGCGACATTTGTATCGGAAAAAATGTCTGGGAGAAAAAAGTTGTTCGGTAAAAGAGCCTGAAAAACGGACAATTTTTTGCACCGACCTAAGGTAAGCCTTGCAAAAGTTGTGACCTTGGGCCTCGGGCAGAGTTCACGCGATTTCATCGTCGCGATCCATCGCGACAAGACAACTGTAAAAATATCATTGCAGCCGATCTTCTTGCATTTCGGTTGTGAGAGTTTTCCAAAACGACTAATCGTGACTAACTATCGCAATCGAAATACAAGAAGATGGGCATGCATTAAACTCCCAACATTTGTCTTGTCGCGATGAATCGCGACGATGAAATCGCGTGAACTCTGCCCGAGGCCTTAGTGTTCTCGCCTCATTCTCACTCACTGAACGACACTAGATCTCACAGATAAGGGCTCTTCAAAAAGATTTCAGCCTTGAAATGATGTAGTTCAAAACAGCAGCAAGAGTGAGAACTCAAAGAACGCCTTATTTGTGCAATCTCATTTTTTGTTTGATTTGTGTTCATCTCCGCTCAGAACCTCACAGCATCGCCGTCTCCTCCTGAACGCTTTTCGTGACATGAAGTGCTTACACAGGCCCCACCTCCTGCGCGGTTTCGTGAAACAGAAAGTGAGTGAAATTGAAAACTAAGCTAATGGCAGACTTATCAAGAAACAGAGAGCAGTGTAAGTGCTGCGAAATCAGACCATGGAGAAGTGGAAGGCTGTGCTCTGAATTGAGGGCGTTCGTATACCAGCATTGAGGAAGTTCGAAGGCAGTGCAGCGGCAGGTTTAAAGGCAGTGTCCCGGCAGATTTTGCACTTCCATCTTTTCGCATGTTTTGGGCCTTTTCGACCCATCCCGAATTTGAGCTTTGAAACGGGTGAAAAGACCTTTCGGGGCGTTTACCCAATTTCTAAAAGGCAGCTCGGATGAGAATTTCGACGGAAAGATGGGAGGCCCTGACACGAAGACTCTGCTGCCTGTAATTTTTGCTTTGGATAGCATGCACAGTGCTGGATAGCGGTCGTGGGGTCCCGCGCCGAACGGTAAGTCAAGTCATCCGAGCGCGCGCCGGTTCGAGGGCTATTTTCTTGGCCCAGGGGAACATCAACCAGCCGGACTGCGCGTGGAGGTCAGTGGGATGAGCAGGAATCCCACCGTAGCAATATCCCCCAAGACGCGAATCTGCTGGGACACTGCCTTTAAGGAGCACTTCAGTGTTCAGAATGAAGCGATTTTCTCGTTACAAAAGCAGTATTTTTGCCGTAGCAACCGGGCTATGGTTTGCGTGGGCAGCCCGCTTCGGTAAACTGTTGAGATCGAGGTGCTCGCAAACCTGCCCGGACTCTGCCTTCAAGCTCTAGAGAGGTGGGCTTAGAAGGCTTCGACAAAATTATAGTGGAGATTATGCTATTGCTGCCTCACTGAAAACCGTCGCCATTTGTACATACAGTGTACGCTGCGCAAAATGAGATTTTTGTTGGCGCTTCAAGCTTCGCCAAACAATGCCCTTGAATGATTAGGTCGTCTCTGTCTCTTCACTGTCCATCGTTTCATTTATGCTAGTCACTCTGCTGTCACAGTCAAACGATAGTTCTCAAAGAAAGGCAGCTAGATCAGTTTTCTCGACAAATCATTTGAATCCCTGGATACAGCTTGGAAAGATATCTAAATGCATTCACTACTAGGACAAATCGATTGATGTTCTTCGGATGAAGCATGAGATCGTTGATCCTTCCATCTATATCATTTCAGTCTAGGGGCAGTATTCCCAGTGACAAACATGCATTTCGCTCGCCGGTGCACCCAAGATGCACCTTTAGTCATTTCCTTTAGCGCTAAATGCTCGCCGGCCAAGCATATTGACACATTTACGACACTTTGACTGCTTCTACACGCCCTATATTTCTTTCTCGAGTTTTTCTTTGATTTCAATGTTCAGAACTTCGAATTTGTGATCGCTGCCACATCTGCTTTGGTCCTGCAACGATTGGTAGTGAGCGGCGCGGCACAGCAACGCTTATCGACGCATCTTTCGGCGTGGCCTCATCGTATCCTTTCGTTTTTCCCTTGTGGTTGGTGTTGTTTTGGTGCGAGAATGTTTCCTTTTACGTTTTCTGTGATTAGATCCCACATAATCGATCTATTTTGCAGAATTTTTTGGCTTTGAGGAAGGAAACGGCTTGGGTTGGCGATGGGTGAGTAAGTTTGCGGAACTTTGATTATATATTTGGCAGTACTTACAGCTTACAATGGTTCATATGCGGATCCTAACGCAGCAGCAGCGGCTGGAGGTGATGCATACGCTCAAGCTGATCCACAGGTGGCAAATCCTACGTTCAGTTATTGCACTTCATTGATGATTTTCAGGCTCTAAAAGAGTATGAGGCAGCATGGGCTCAGTATTACGCTTCATTAGGACAAACCGTACCTACTGGTGCAGCCGGTGCAACCGGTCCTACAGCACAATCTGCTCCAAATGACGGAAACGGCAATGCAACGGATGTAAGTCGCTTGAGCTAATAAAAAATGCTTTTTGTAACTACTGTTTGGTTATAGTATAGCGGGTATTACGCCAATGGGGCCCCTCCTCCCGCTGGGCCGCCGCCAGAATCCAAAGGTATGTACTCAGGTCAGTTTTTGCTTTTGCTTTTGATGCTGAGATAGTGTGAGCGACTCAAGCCTGGAAAAGAAACGTAAGCTTTTCGTTCACTACATAGCAGCTCCACAGAGATGAATAGACTTTTGCTGTAACTCAAGCCCTGAAAACAAGGGCTCATGCCCATTTATTGCGCGGTTTGTGGAACTCTATACTTGAGAAGGGGAAATGAATGTGAGAGATCTCACTATCTCACATCATTCCAGAACTTATGTTTCAGTGACAGGTGATTCCATTTTTCCAGCTGGACGCGGTCGTGGAGGCGGGCCTGACGGATACAGCACTCGAGGAGGTTACGAAGGCGGTCGTGGAGGATACGAAGGAGGAGGAGGAGGCCGCGGAGGATATGACGGTGGCCGCGGCGGCTTCGGCGGAGGCCGCGGGGGTTACGATGGCGGTCGAGGCGGTTATGATGGTGGGAGAGGTGGATATGATGGCGGACGCGGCGGGTATGATGGAGGCCGTGGAGGTTTCGGTGGCGGCAGAGGAGGCTACGACGGCGGTCGAGGCGGATATGATGATGGAGGACGCGGAGGTTTTGGTGGAAGAGGAGGCGGTCGCGGAGGCAGGGGAGATTTCGGAGGTAGAGGTATGCTCTTGCTTCAAGATGAAAAATTAGATGATAAGGTTTTATCTAAGAGTTAGTCAGAAAAGGGGCCTTAGAATCTAGAGAAAACGCGTAGTTGAGAAGTTTTGATTGATTTGTTCACCTTTAGTTCTGAGCTCATAACTTTTGTTCGAGCAGAAGAATATACACATGTAGTTGTAAGAACTGTTTTCTTGGTGGCCTTAGAGTGTCATATGTAGTTCCAACTAGCTTCCCTTTATTTTTAAGCGTGTTGATACGTTTTCCAGGCGGCCGCGATGGAGGTTTCGGAGGGCGTGGAGGTTTCGGCGGACGTGATGGTGGCTACGGCGGTGGCGAACGTCGTGGGCCAAGCCGATGGGACGACGGAGGCCGTGGCGGTGGTCGAGGAGGATTTCGTGGCGGGTAGGGACTTTCCCTCTTCGTAATTTTTTCTTTTACAAGAACATACTGTTTATTGGCATCCGCTATGGAAGCTGCTGACTGAGAAGAGTTCGTGTGGTGATGTGAAAATTCGTTTGTGGTTAAAATTAATGTTATAGAGTTTAAGTGTTCTGGCCAACTGGCCCACTCATTGCAGATGGTTATTATGAGTTACGGTGTTTGGTGAAGTGGTGATGAGGTAAGTTTGTACCGACTAAGTAAAGGTGACGGTTTTCACTTTACAAATCAATGCCGTAGAGCTTTGATCGGACTATCTAAGTATAGCGGTCGTCGATTGAAAACTCATTCACATCTCTGTTGTGTTCTTTTACTTCTCAAATTCTTACTCTGCTTTGTTGTGTCAAATCTTGGTAGTTTAACGTGTCTTTGTGTTAAAATCCCTAAGGGGATGTATGAGGTAAACGAGTATGCTTTAGAGTTGCAGGAAGGGCTGAATGAAGCTCAACATCACCACCACCGTAAACTCGAAAATGTCTCACGAATTGAAAATCGAGTCTGAAGATCTGCGCGTTTCACTGGAGATTGCAAACCCTTCTCCATTGCTTGGCTGCGATCTTTGCGGTCCAGCATCGGAGAGGGATTTGCAATGTCTGGGGCAGAGTGCAGCTGTGCAGAGCTTTAGGGCTAGGCCAGACTGCACTTCTTGCCTCAGACTTACACGTTGTGTTTCAGCCCGGGAGGTCCCGGTGGAAGAGGAGGTTTTCAAGGTATTTGCCTAAAAATAAGTGTTATTACGTACTTCTTAAAAAAGGGAGACTTCTAATGAAAAACGGGAATTGTTCTGCAGTGTTCGTATCAACGATCCAGTGTTCAAACTTTTCAGTGATTTACCGGGGAAAATGATAAATCAAAGTCGGCCTCAACGGTCAAGAGTGATGTGCAATTGCGGATTCCGCATGCAAAGCTAGAGCTGATGAGTTCGGTGTAAAAAAGATGTCTATGTTTGTTATTTGCAGTCGTCATCAGAGATGATGGTGTATGACTCAAATATAACAAAAAGTATCAATTATCATAAAATGTGCGCATTTACTTAGTTATTGTTCAGTGTCGTTTAGCCGTTATCAACGGCTGAGGGGTAGTCTTCCCAAAGGTACAGAAATCTGAAATGGATCTCCAAGTTGTACCATGTTCAGCTTCCACAGGGTGGATTGGTTGCATAAATATATCTGTTTATTAACTTGTTTATGCTTATTCGTTTATTTATACAGATTTGTATAGTGCGCTCACGGTGCCACTTATAATAGTAAACATATACTCGACAGTTCTGGTATTAATATTGACACATGTCTCTATAGAGTGGAAAAGTTGAAAATATACTCGGTGCTGGTGTATCCTCAGAATGCGAAAGTGTAAAATTCTTGGGTTGTTTGGAAGAACAGAGTTGGAGTGATGTGGTAATACTGACATGATAGTCGGCACAGTACTATTTACTGAGTTGATTGAAGAGGTGCTAGATAACAGCAATTGTGATAGCAGAGGCGTTAAGGTTGTTCCAGTATTGAGAAAAAGAAGTATAAAAGGTCGAGTATACTGATGCAGTTGAAAATTTCAAAAGTTGTGAAAGGCTGTTCAGTAATCATACAAATTCCATCAGTTTACAAGAACAATAGTTGATGATAGTGCTAAACTTCCTATATAACTCTTTCGTTATAAGTTTAGTATGGAATGAAGAGAAATGCAGTCTTCTTCCCAGTGCTAAATTGGTTTAAAAAAAGGAAGGTGTCCTTAAAGTCCGCAGTTGCACATCATTAATCTTGAACGCTGGCGTTGTATATGTCAAGCCTTTCATCTCATTTTTCCCATGTTGCTTTTTGTAGATCGTGGGGACCGTGGAGGCCGTGGTGGCTACGGGGGAGATAGAGGAGACAGTGGAGGTTTTCGTCATGATGACCGTGTTGAGCTGAAAGAGACCGTTTTTGTTCAGGGAGTACCCGTCACGTGAGTCTTTTTGCGTTGATAGTTGCATACTTTATGAATAGAGATCTTCTTTGTAGGGCAAACGAAACGTACATCGCAGATGTCTTCAGTACTGTTGGTGATATCGCTAAAAATGACAGAACTGGAGCTCCTCGAATAAAGATCTACACAGACAGAGGCACTGGAGATCCCAAAGTATGTCAGATTGGAAGAAGGATAAGGCGCTATTCCAGTACAAACAACCCAAAAATTAAAAATCTAGGATTTCGCTCAAACTTGATATACAGGGGTTATTTGATGTTCTGATTACGAAAACGATATTCATTTCGCCTGGTAGGACCTTTTTTGAGGGTTACGGTGGGCATGCGGTATGGGGTCAAAAACTCAGACCTTCCAAACTCTGCACAGAGTGATTATTCGATTCGCATGAAAACGTCCCCCTTTTGTTACGGTAGTGCACCGTAGGAAGTCAAAATCGTAAATATGGCTGAAGTCTGGGCTAGAGGGGGTTCCACATGCTGATCACAAATATCGTAATCTTCGCATTTTGGAACTTCGTAGTGTTACGGTAGGTATACGGTAAGGGAGCAAAATCGTAGATCTGCCTGAAATCTTGTGCAGGGGGAGGGGGGTTGGTGTCTGATGTGCTGATTACAAATTTCGCGCTCATTTTGCTTGATAAAGCCATTTCGTCGATTTTTGGGATGTAAGTTGGCCTAAAGCAGAAATCGTGCCTATTCATAGACTGCGAATTACCGTACTTACCCAATAAGTCATTGTTGCAGTGAACAATGATATTCGTAATCTGCATGCTTGAAACCCTCTCCAGGGCAAGTTTTGAGCAAATTTGGGACTTGACCCAACCAAATTATACCTATCATGACCCAAGAAAATGGCGCTATCTTGCGAATGATATGTCATACCTGTTCAGCGTGCTAAATAACCCACTAGTTCAGATTCCAGCCAAATCTACTATTTTGACCTCCCACCGCACACCTACCGTAACCATACAGGAACACGTTTTCATGCGGAAAAAGTTTGATAATAGTGATCAGCATGTCGAATAACCTCTCTGTGCCGAGTTTCAGCAAGATCCGAGTTTTGACCCCATACCGTACCTGCCGTAACCCCTCAAAAAAGGTCCTACCATGCAATAAATATCATTTTCGTAATCAGAACATCAAATAACCCCTGTATACAAAGTCTTAGCGAAATCCAAGTTTCTTCATTTTTGGTTTGTGTATTCTGGAATAGTACCGAAGATAATTTAAGTAATGTTAATTGCTTGGTATACAGGGAGAATGCATGATCACATTTGCTACCGCTGAAGTAGCGCAACGATGTATTGAAATGTACAATGGTCAACCATTCCCCGGGGGTGACCGTCCAATGACGATCTCTATTGCAAAGTTCAAACCTATGGATCCAAGCGCACGTGGTGGTCCAGGGGGAGGTTTTCGCGGAGGACGCGGAGGAGGAGGCCGAGGCGGATTTGGTTGGCTATTTTTCCATATTTTTGATTAGTCGGTGACGGATACACATTATCGTCGACAGTCTGTGGTCTTCACTTCATCAGCTTCTTGTTTTAGATGGCGGATTCGGCGGTCGAGGAGGTGGTGGTGATCGCGGCGGATTCCGTGGTATTCGTTTCTTCAATGAAGTTCCAATGATTGTGCAACAACTTTATAATAGGTGGAGACAGAGGACGTGGCGGCAGAGGAGGTTTTGGAGGACGTGGCGGAGGAAATCCAAACTTGGAACAACGCAGTAATGACTGGCCTTGTGACTCATGTGGAAACAACAATTTTGCTTTCCGACAAGTTAGTTAATTGGTTTCATCTTTGTCTTCATGTACAAGATTTAATCTACTATCAAATTAGGCCTGCAACCAGTGCGGAGCTCCAAGAGGCGGAGGAAGTGGTGGAGGAGGTGCGATGCGAGGTGGACGTGGAGGATTTGGTGGTGATAGGCACAAACCGTACTGATTCGTAAGATCTTTGTGCAGTGCTGAGATTATCATGAGCTGCTTGTCGTTATCAATTAATGATCTGTATTGTTGAGACACTCATCGTCAAACTGAAATAGTTATGTTTCATGTGGTGTAAATTGTCTGTGTTCTTATTTATCTACACAATGCTTGTGCTCTCACAGTATTGGGTGTAGTTGTTTAATATCATTGCTGCGGTTTTCCTTTCATTAATACTATTAAACTGTAAGTTATTCAATGAAACCTTCTCAGATTAGTTCTTTTTGAATCATGCAATAGATATGTTTGCAATACTTTAACGCATTGCTCTTACTTTAGGCTATAATGATGAAGGGCAGAAGGAAGAAGCTCGCGTGTAGCTTCGGTGTAGCTTTTGTGGCCTCATTGATGCAAAGGAAAGTCCTTTGCTACACTTTTGGCACACTGCAGACATTTGGTAACGTTTTTATTCTTTAGCTTCTACGATGGAACACAGTGCTATTCAAATTGTCCGCAGTTAGGAGCTGCCACTTGTAAAAGTTGCCAAGTCTCCGAGCGCTCTATAACTAAAAGAACAGCTGTCAGAGTACAGGACCATAGTTATAGATCAGCTTTTTTTGTCCATTTTTACGTCGCAAAACGGACTTGGTTTAGAATTCTGCCTTGTACAGCCGTCACGTTAGCGCAAGATCAAAAGTTTTGCTCCATCGCACCTTTTTTTGGCATATGGGTGTTCCTCCATCTTTATTTGATAGAGTAGCTTTGAAATGAAAAGCAGAAAAAAGTCGCTTCCCTTTATTCTAATGCTAGTTATTCTATGCTGGATGCTAAAATTGGATACATGGTCTGTTTACGTTTGCGTGGTCGTTCCAGACAAAAGCGGAGATCCGTTTGCCAGCTGTTTCCAAAATTAGATAATAACATCCATAATCTGCGTCCAATGTGATTGCGCACAGAAGCACACTGCTTTTCTTGTTGTCTACTCTTCAAACTTCACTTAGTAGAGGACGTTGGGGAGGAGGACGGGGACTCGATATATCATTTAATTGAACCGGCATGAATATGACCTTGTCACTTTTGAAGCACAAGTTTCACAGATCTACTTCGGACTTATATCACTTCATTTGCTATATACCAACATCGCATCAAGCACTTGCAGCTAATTCGCGGGCTACTTTTAGTATTTTCGAGACTTCATTTGGGGCGGTATGCATCAATCTGTTTTGAAACGGGCGATCATTTTCAATAGTGATCGCCTGGCCGGGTTGGCCGCCCGACCCGTGATGTATGAACTATTGAAAATGATCGCCCACTTTCAAAACGGAGATTGATGCAAGCCGCCCCTGGCAGGAGATGGGAGGAGGGGGGAGGTGCTCAGACACTCGCTGCGGCGGCGCGCGCGTCTTATGCGTGCGGCCCCTCATGTCGCCCGCCGCCGGCCGTCAAATAGCGCGCGCGCCGCGAGTAGATGGCACGCGCGCCGCGAGTAAATGGTACGCGCGCGTGAGTAGATGGGAGCGCGCCATACGATAATGGCACGCCGCTCGCACGGTATGAAAACTGCCATTCGCATTTGAAGCACTGCGAATCACGGTGAATCTGTGGTAGATAGACCTGATGACAACTCTCAATTTCAGGCAAACAATGGCTTCAATTTCAAATATGAACTTGAAGTTTCCAAAGTTTCCAAATTTTTGAAATTTGAAAATTCAAATTTCAAAAATTCAAAAATTCAAATTCCCAAACTTGAATTCAAACTCGGCACCTACTCGCGGTGCTTATGAGGACTGAGTCTCAATGGAAGAATTAGAAGAATCCCACTTGTGTTAATGAGACAACTTCATTGCAAAACAGCGATAACCTTAATGAATTGGCGATAAAGCACCCAAAACACTGCGTCGTACTTCACGCAGGTATCGCTTGTGCTTACAGCGTGTGAAAATGCGGAAGATATCATGGCACGCCACTCACTGATAGATTGCGCGCCGCTCGCACTCTCAACTAGGGCGCGCCGCTCGCAATACAGTGTTATAGTGGCGCGCGCGCCGCCGCGCCGAGTGTCGAATAAGCGCGCCGGCGGCCGTAATAAGGCGCGCCGCTCGCCGGCTGCGAACGATGGCGCGCCGCTCGCAGTGCAGCCTCAACTGTGGCGCTCCGCTCGCACGGCAGCCTCAAAAGGGCGCGCCGCTCGCACTGTAGCGCTATTATGGCGCGCCCGCCGCCGCAGCGAGTGTCTTAGTGGTTTCCCTCCTCCCAGCATCCCTCTCAGTCTGTTAATGGCTGAAATCTATTATTTGTCTGCTTACAGACGTTAATGTGAAGGCAAGGAGATTGTCCATGGATTCATTGACAACTTTGCTAAATAGTTCATTGAGAATATGTGCAGGTGAGCTTCAGCTAGACTGTCGGAAGGTCTTCGTATGCAGGCAGTTCTGAAATATGATAAAGTCTTAGCACACCCAAAAAGATTGTTCGGAACGTTTTTCTTCAAACTTCCGGGGATTTTTTTCGCAGCTCTTGATTTTTGCATTGCTTTGATGTCGTCGGTAAAAATGTCTGAGAACCCACCGTCTTGCGTTGAAGTGCTAGGGAGGTGGGTGATCTCGGTTGGCTGCCCTTCCGTAGTGGGTACATAGGTTTGATCTGAAATCGATGGTTTGCGTGGATGGTGACATTCATCACTTGCCCGTCTCAGTCCATATTCTATCCTCCACTGCTTGGGTATGTTCAACAGTATCCACTGTTTAGCGCAGTTGTGCTTTTGAATCTCTTAACCGTTTACGCGATCAAATCAATCATCTGCAATTGTAATTTATATCAGTATGTCCTGCTGCTCGTCATATGGTCAGGAAGTGATAGATATCGTGAAACTCAGTCATGAAGTTTTCAGATTAACTACCTTCACTACTAACATATTTTCATCCACAACAATTTTACCGATCATCGATGTCTTACGCTGAAGTTGACTACAATGATGGAGGAGCTGCAGGTGAGCTGTCGCCTCAGTTAATAGTTTATGGGATTTTTCCGAACAGCTGCAACTTGCATTAGTTGCTAAGATCTTACATGGAAAATTACTGCTGGTTTATGCGACACCTATCGCTCCCACGTTAGTACACTGTTACAATCTGCTGCAAATCTGCTCATTGGCTTTTTTAGCTGCTCATCTAATCTTTACTTCAATAATAGAGTAATAGTGAATGTTCAGGTGGACGTGGCGCTGAATACGAAAGCCGCAACAGCTATGGTGGCGGAGAGCGTGACAGCTTCGATGGTGGAGATCGTCGAGCACCAAATCGATGGGACGACGGAGGCCGAGGAGGAGGTAGAGGAGGAGGAGGCTTTCGTGGAGGGTGAGGGAGTAGACTTATCAAAGAGCTTACTTAGTGTGTGGTTGCCTCTTAGCTCTAAGAACTTTGGATCATAAGTCATATGCTGAAACAATCGCCGGACCGGCGCAACTAGTAAAGATGTCATTTGACGTCACGTTGGACGGAAATCGTAGTGGTGCCTGCGATCTTCGCAACAAAGTAATTGCGGAAAGGTGATAAAAGACATCGCAGTATGAGAGAATGACAAAAAGTCGTCACCACCAAAAATGTTTGTTGGAGCGAAATCGCGGGCACCGCTCAACTTTCCTTAACACATTCACGACAATACGACCCACCGGTGGGTCGTACGTGTTCTGCCATTTCGGACAATACGACCTACCGGTGGGTCGTATGCTTTCCGAAGTTTTTGGTTTTGTTAGTTCACGGTGAAACTTTTTAGGCGAACCGAGTAAACTTGTGCATACATTTCTTCGAGTACTTCCTAAAAGATTGACACTTCAGACCATAGGGTCCATCAGTGACCTGAAAATATTACGCGAACTCAGTTTTGCGAAATATGCTCTGGTCCGAAATGGCAGTCATCGAAAAATCGGCCCTGTCGTGAATGTGTTAACGTGACACAAAGTAACAGTGACTACGCCGCATCCTGCTGAAGCAGGACGATCAGCTAGTCTGGCGCTATCAAACATACTCGTAAAAAAACTGTCTGGCGCTATCAAACATACGCGTAAAAAAACTATCTCGAACTTCCCAGAAGTTTGCGCAGTAGCTCTCTCGCGTATATCTGATGTGAGAATATCCCCTCAAAAGTCCTTTTCGCGGACTTTTGACATAGTTGGGGCGGCGGTATCCGTTCTTCATTTCTACTTAAATGAATCAAAGTTCCTTTTTAATACATTCAGACTCGCAGTATACCTTCATTGCTTTAGACTTATACGTTCATATTTTAGGCAAGGAGGCGGAGGAAGAGGAGGCTACCAAGGTAAGTAAATGATATTCGCTGTCTTTTTGTCATTCAGGCAGTTATGTCTTGATATCTTCAAGGGAATTAGTGTTCTTTATGTTTAGAAAATACGAAATACTTCACCTCATGGTTTTGTTTTTATAGATGAGTTTTTTATAGATCGTGGAGACCGTGGGAGCCGAGGTGGCTACGGTGGGGATAGAGGCAACGGCGGTTTCCGCCAAGATGATCGAGTAGAGCTGAAAGAGACAGTTTTTGTGCAGGGATTGCCCACAACGTGTGTTTTCCAGCAATTCCATAATTCTGCTATTTCGAGGAAGTTGTGATTTTAAGGGTAAACGAAACATACATCGCGGACGTCTTCAGCACCGTCGGTGACATTGCTAAAAATGACAGGACCGGTGCTCCTCGTGTGCGAATTTATACAGACAGAGGAACAGGAGATGCAAAGGTACTTGCTACACTCTCTTTCTAACGTTTTTGGTATGCTGAGATCGCTATATAGGGAGAGTGCGTGATCACCTTCGTCAGCGCTGATGTGGCGCAACGAGCCATTGAGATGTACGATGGACAGCCTTTTCCCGGCGGCAATCGCCCAATGTCAATCTCCATTGCGAAGTTCAGGCCCACAGACCCCAATTCGCGCGGTGGAGGCTTCCGTGGTGGCCGAGGAGGTGGAGGCAGAGGCGGCTTTGGTGAGTTACTCAAATTCTCATAATCCAAAACACATTCGTTCTAATTGCAATGCACGGTAGCGTACCCATGCTCCAGATTGAGTCATATATTGACAACAGATATTTTAGATGGCGGGTATGGTGGTCGCGGAGGTGGAAGTGGTGGAGATCGAGGCGGTTTTCGAGGTGAGTTCACATGTATCATCAAAGGATGTTGAGCGGCTTCAAGAGAATTCTATTGTAACTGAGGGGATATTCTTGCTGTTACGTTTGACAACATCGACTTTTAGATGGTGGGTATGGTGGTCGCGGAGGTGGAGGTGGAGGAGACCGAGACGGTCGAGGTGAGTTCTTATGTGTCATTCAAGGAGGAACGGTTGCAAGTTCCGCCTTTCTAAGTGAAGAAACAATCTTGCTTCTTCCGTTGAGTTTACAACATCGATTTTAGATGGTGGGTATGGTGGTCGCGGAAGCGGCGACAGAGGCCGTGGTGGCGGAAGAGGTGGTTTTGGAGGACGTGGTGGAGGGAATTCAAATATGGAACAGCGCGGTGATGACTGGCCTTGTGACTCATGTGGAAATAACAACTTTTCCTTTCGACAAGTCAGTTCTATTTTCAAGTGTTTTTTGCACCTACAAAGATCACTTAGGCCTGCAATCAATGCGGAAATCCAAGAGGCGGAGGAAGTGCTGGTGGAGGTGCAGCGCGAGACGGACGTGGAGGATATGGCGGAGACAGGCACAGACCGTACTGATCGGTTGTTTACTTGGTCCACATACTGCAAAAATAACTGTTTTAATCAATGCGTTCAGACTGCATCATTGGAGTTGTCAGCTGTAATTGTTACTTGTATCATAATTAACTTACTCAGTATTTGTCGTCACGCTTTGTGCACTCTTATCTCTTGTTGTTACTACGATTACCTCCTATATCTCAGGTAATGCGATAAATGCGTGTTTTTGCTATTCTGTTCCGTAGTTCGAAGAATGAATTGAGCATTATCAGCACTGGGAACAATTCTGGTTGTTATGGTACTCGAAAATTCTGTTGTAGGGCATTGTTCATTCCAAAAAGGTACTGCTATCTCACCAGTTAGTACGATGCCTGCTTTGAATTCACTAATCAGTTGTTGCAATGAAGTCTAGGTTGAAGCGATGCATATTCATTTCCCAAAATTGTTCCAATATGAACCATCAACATGACTGCCTCTCAATCGTTTCAACACGTTAACTCCAGCAGATTTAAAGGCAGTGTCCGGGCAATTTGGGGGTTTTGGGACTTCAGTGCCATGCGAAGTGGCCCCCCTCAGACATAACATCGCGCTTCGAGGTCACAACCAGGGCCCGGCACCGATGGTTTGAGGTCAAACTGGACTTCGTTTTTGGAGTTAGAAGCAACGGGGATATCGTTTTCATGAGGTCCTGGAGGAAGCGCCAAAAAACACGACGAACATCCAGGTTTCACGAGTTGAACGTGTCTTTCGCAAGCGCGCGAATTTCAAATGCAAGACCCAAACAAACAAATGGATTGTTTACAGCGCACAAACAATCACATGGCTCCGAATTTGGGCTACGAGTATACAATATTACTCCAAACTATGTTATGTAAAAAGTTCCCAAAACTTATGTGTCTGAATACCCGTTCCGGATTTGTTGGTTTCTAGACCAACCACCGAACCAACTGGGTTGGTTCGGAGCATAAATTTCGGAGAGTTCACATAAGTTTTGGACCTTTTTGATTTGGACGATTAAAACGCTCAAAAATCTGTTATATAGTGAAGAGAGCAAATCAAACTATTGCCTCTCCTCTTCTTTTGAGCCAAAAGTAGTGCAAATCTAACGCCTTGATAGATATTGCGCTCCAATCACACGCGGTGTCCTTTGAACTATGTGGCGAAAAATGCACTGCCAGATTGTTGAGGCCACAGATTTGGTTGGCCTAGGAGGTTCCCGACATTCTGAGCGCTAAAATGGTACACTACCCAATGACAGAGCCTTTAATCAACTCGAAATGTTTCGTTTTTGCTTTTTTTTGTTGTATTAGTTACCTCAAAATGCGCTTTTTTCGCTTCTTTAATGTTATTTTGACTAATTAAGGGTTTCCCTACTGATTTTTACGTCAAGAGGGACTTCGTAAATTTTTGCGAAGTCATGGGGGATTTCGTTTCCAGAAACGCTTCAAACCAACGCGTGCCGGGCCCTGGTCACAACGCTCGACCTAAAGCGAGAAAAAAGACCGGAATGGGGAAACTTACGCCTTGGGGCGGGGTTCTCTGACCTGTTCGAATTCCTGCTATGCGGCAGACTCAGACATTCGCAGTTTAGTCCCGCCGGAGATCCGCCCACAAAATGAGAATTCGCGAGAAAACCGGGAGTCTTGCGCGACACCCGGTTTTGTCCCGACTATCGGGATAATCCCGACACAGGGCGCGCTCCCAGTGTCTGAGCGTAAAGGACACTTGCGTGAAATACGACGCATGGTCAGACTACCCTCAATGTCCACAACCTTGGATGTGTTTCCATTCTTACAGGCAAAAACACCACCAATATTCGTCTAAAACCCCTGATAGGATCTTGTTGTTAATCAATTTTGAACGCGGGGACTTGGTTTCCGAAGCTGCTGTACGATGGATCTAATTGGTCTTTGTATATGAGCGGGAATCCCGCCGGTGACTGGATCGGACACCATCGGGACTCCCGCAGGAGGTCCCGGTTTTCTCAGTAGAAAACATGTCGGGACAAAACCGCGTGTCGCGCTGCATTAGCCCAAATGAAAACCGGGAGTTCCGGTTTTCTCGCGAACCTTTTACTTGTGTCCCGCAGTCATTCCGGCGGGACACAACTTTTTCACCGGCGGGATTTAACTGCGAATGTCTGAGGAGTACGCATGCCGCCATGGTCAAAATCGTAGTCCCGCAGCGACTCTGCTCTCAGCCTTGGCCGGGACCGTAGAATTTCAAATTGTATGGCTTTGGACGCATGTTCTCGTTTTCGCGCCTTCTGATGTGGATTTTTGGATTCAGCGTTGCGGATAACCCCCGTAAGGTGGATCTTCTAGAACTCGAGTTTTTGCTTGGACACTGCCTTCAAGGCGCTACGAAGTTGACATGTTAAAGGCACCGTCCACCCTAAGTTGAGGGTGTTGAGCTTTTGGCAGTTTATAACAGTGGGGCCTCCTATAAAGCCAATGCCCAAGTCGCGGCGCAATACGCCGCTTCAGAAGCGAGGAAATAGCTTCGGAATAGCGAAGATGCACGAGGACGTCCATGACATCCATGCCCGCCCGTTTAAGCGCGCTCATCCAATCACCGTTCTGGAAAGCCGGCCTGTGGGTTCTCCAGAATGGGGACGGAGGTTTCAGCGGATTCTCGAGTTCATATTTGGAATCAGGGACATAAGAAGGCCCCGAAACGACAAAAACATGAAAGTCGAGAATTTGAGTGAACAATGCCTTTAACTCCACCCTTCGTCCGCCATACTGTGGAGAATGGCGGGCGGAGGGTGGGGAAAATCAGATGAAAACTAGAAATCGAAGTAAACCTTGATAACACATTCGAAAACTCTTACCTGAAATGTTTCCTACTTTAAGAATCCAGGAGCCTATACATGGGAGGTGGGGGGGGGGGGTGGGCAGCCGTTTACCAAGTGGCGGCACTTTCTACCATAATCTACACTGACGAAATGCGATGAATGATTTGTGATTTTGCACTGCAGTATAAGGTGAGTACAGCCCCACAATATGCTACGCAAAGCCCCTCAAATGCTATTTAGAGAGAGTCTAGTAGGACGTACCGAAAGTTCTTTCGCTTTTTGACCTATAATATAAACATGTGAGATAAAGAAAGGCAAACTTTTGAAACATTGTTTGAAGCAGCTTTTCCAATCATGTTTCCGAACTTGTCGCTCTTATGGTCACTAGAATAATCGCGGAAGTTTGAACCCATGTTTTTTACCATGTCCCACTTTACTGAACTTCTAAAATCTTCGTCTTAGACTTTTGGAAATGCCTTGAATCTATGGATAGAGAAAACAAAGTGCACTCCATTTTTTGGTATTAAAAGACAGGTATCTTGCTTATCAAATTTTTCAAAATTATTATTTGATGCTATCAAATTCCATATCTGGTCAACTCGAACTTTACGGAACGTCGATTGGCGAATAGCCAGCTTGGGTGTCGTTTGATGCAGCTTCTCCTTCAGTTTCTGAAAAGGGTCTCTTTCAAGTCATATTTGAGCGTGCCCCGGCATCCCCGGAAAATCCGAAATGCAATAAAGTCCGTGAAAATGCTCAAAAACTGAATTGTAAAATTAGGGTTCGATCATAATCTGCCTTTGGATGTCTTGAAATCCGAGGATTTAGTGTTCGTTTGATGCGTTTGTGTTCGAGATGGGCCTGCTCAAGATCTGTGGGTTCAATGCAGATTCTGTCAAAAATTTACGACGAGTTATGAAAAGATAAAAGAAATTCATTTATGCTTTGTAGAGTTTGCTCTAACCATCCGTTACTTTTCTTCTAGAAGGTGGTATAAGAATTCATTGAAACACCTAAAGTTAACTTTGGCAATACATGGCCAGTATTGTGGTGATTTTATCTCGAAATTTGACAGTTCGAATTCTAATTTTTTGCTTTGTCTCCTCCTTTGTTTGGTTCAATATCCTCGTGAAAAAATATGTATCAAATCAAAGTTTCAAACTGCAAAAAGATCAATACTAATGTGCATGGTCATCGCGGGATTTCTCGATCGTGCTCCTAGTTTGACCTGAATCAATTTATCCTTGATGGGACTGCCCATCAAAAGGCGAAACTCACCCGTATCCTTGAGAGTGTAGGATTGGTTTCTTTCAGCCTTCGAGGCAATTCTCATCAAGTTGTTTCAGTTGTTTTGAAAGCTATGGTTTGTCTGATGCAAAAATGGTGATATTTTTATACACAGAAAATTTTCTTGATATAGGATATAGGGTGGTTTTTCATCTCTTTTTTCCTGCTTCGTAGCAAATATTTCTGTTGCAATTCCTGATAGGCAATGTTAACATTAACAGCGTTTTAGGATAACCTTAATGCAATGTCACTCTATAGTTTCACTGAAGTTCCTAATGAGGATCTTGATTCGAGTAACGAAGGTGAGAAAATGTTTGTGTGGTTTGTTTTCAGTTTTTTGTACTGTACATGTAATTTTCTATGTGCTAGCTTCATAAGGCACGAATACTCAGCTGTTAGAGACTATATAAACGCTTCTTTTTCATCGTATTCAAAACTGCCATACGCAGAATTCGTTACTCAAGATGGAGAACAAACCATATTGAAAATACTCTATGTCTGGCAACCTCTAAGTGCAATACAGCATTTTGCTCACAAATAAGAAACTTTCTCACAACATGAACTTTGTCATCGTTGCTCACCCCTCTCCCGCTCGGTTATGTCATGTTTGTTGATCTGGAAGAAGTTATTTCTCCAATGCACAATCCAGTTTGTAATCCTTAGTGATTGACGGTTTTGGTAGCTCCCTTTTATTAATATTTTTGAAAAAGGTAAACATTATTGTAGTTTTGGAAAAAACATGTGCAGAGAGTTATCCTTCAAAAGTTTCTACACCAGTGTGTCAGCATGGTACCGATTTTGCTGATTATAGTCCGGTTTCAAAATCATGGTAAGATTAAAAATATCTTTTAAAATATTTAAAAATTCAAATTAGCCTTATAAAAATTTTTTTGCGGGGTCGTGGCTGACGCCACGCCCCCTTTTTCAGATTTTAGAGGGTTGGAGACCCGCAAAAATTTTGAGAAGCACCCCAAAAATTTTTTCGGAGTGCGTGGCTACCGTCACGCACCTTTATTTGAAAAATTTTTTTGTCGCGCCCGCCCCCCTCCCCGGTTCGAGATCCTGGGACCGCCGCTGACTTTTTCTGTAAATTAAGTACATACATGCGTCAAAGCTGAGTGAGTCAAGCTTCTAGCTGTTGTAATTAACAGATAATCCTAATTTAGATCTCAGATATCTACCACGGATTGCTGCAATCGTCTTTGACCAACTGTAATTTTACGAGCTCATATTCTCGGTATTACTATAGCTGTTTGGAAAGGGCGAAAACTGAAAACTGTGGTGTTTACAATATGTAATGGAGTAGGAGATAGAAAATTTTTGATATTTTTATACCCACACGGTAGATAAAACCTTGCATTAGGATGATAATCGCGCCAAGTGAAATTCTTCTTTCTGTTTCTGAGTGCATTCGCCATCACAGAAAAATGCAAAAAAAATTTTTCATCTCTCCTTTGCGAGGAGCCCTTTTTTGACAATTTTGTGGAGCTTGGTGACTTATGTTCCAAATAGTGCGTGAGCCTTGACATGTTGCAACTTTGGCCTAAAAGTTTCTAGCCAAAAATGGGAATAATAGCTTGACATCAGTCTGATAAGCGTCATTTTTGTTCACTTTTGTGTACTTGATTTGTCACTCTGCGAACTCATGTGTAATCCTTCAAATTCTATTGTTTGCTGTTGGAAGTTTCCGGCATTTAAGCAGGGCGACACAAGACTTCTCCGTGTTTTTACCCTACCGAATGCTTATTTCTGTCCTGGCGCTTTGATTCAAATGACAAACCTTTACGCTTGTCTAGACTGATTCTCTCGTAAACTGTTGTGATTATCTACTTTGTCCTTTGAACAGGATTACTTCTAACCATATCTCACCTAAAAGAATGTTCCACTGGACGGTAATCGTAGGGATAGGCCTATCAGGGACATTTTCGTAAACATTTAAAATTAGAAGTTTCGTCTAAGCTTGTAAAACTACTCAATTCAAAATGGAAGTGACTTGCGGTCCCTCTTGAGCAGAAAACATACCTCACGCGATTTCAGTCACGACGGCGTTTGGCAATACTCCAGTTGGTTATAACTCATCGCAAGGTTTCTGAATGTACGGAACATAAGGCATTTTATCAAACTACGAAAGTTGTATGTGCTGTGCCTCTGGGATCTACCACTAAAGAATTTGAAGACAGCTGGCGAATTGCCAAATCGCGTGGACTGAAATCGCGTGAAGTATGCCTTGGGCCTTATATCAGCGGATCACCGCTCTCCCTCTCACTGTAGAGAAAGAGAAGAGGATGTAAGGTACAGACAGAATCATCACTATTAGACCGTATAGCCTCTGCTCCAAAGTTAACATGTCGGAAACAAAAGAGACCGAAATAATCTACCTCTAAGTGCAGCTTGAAGAATTTTTGCTTATTATGGCGCAAGGATTCTTCTTGGCCTCTCATGTTCCTTTTCGCTCAGGTTTTTAGTGCATATGCATTAGTGACGTGTGTTTTGAGAATTAGGTTGTGATCTTCAGCGAGTGAATGACCAGCTGTGGATGACATCTCTAGTGGGGGAAGCACGAGCGAAGAGCTGCGCCATCTCTTCACCTGATTGCCTGTCGCTTGCAGCCGCCCACTTCGTCGCGACCGTATTTGTGGCCTAGCTTTACTCACTACGAGTTTTGCCAAATTCCTCAAACACTGCCTGCTTTAAATTCCTAGTAAATCATAGCTGGGTTGTGGGTGGATCGCTGTCAGATATCGTACTGTATTTCTTTGGATTTTCAACATTTCAGCTTATTTTTCTGAGCTGATCTGACTATCCAATGGTTTATGGCTTCACTGACGCCCTGAAAAATCTGAACAACTATTGTCAAGAAAAATCCACTAGAATTCGAGAATCCTTTTCACCCTCACGTACGTTTGGTTTTCTTTGGGTTCTCGTGAGTCTTTATCGGTCTCGATCACTACTGTTCGAAGATTATAAATTGGGAACTTTCTCACCTTGCGAGTCAAACGACTGTTATTCAACCAACCTCCTAAGAATCAAAGATTATCGTTATTTCCAAATATGGTAGTGATAACAATCTATCCAGCAATTGTTATGATTATACGGCTCTGTTCGACTACATCGCGAATCGCTGGACGAATTGTTATTATTCTTGAGAGTTACGTTGCAGAATAGCCTGCTCGTAATCCAGCTTCATTGAACCATTGCATTTTGCTTAATTTTACCCATCTAAGGTCAATCCTCTGTCTCTTCTACTCCTTCCACAATTCCCTCACCACCATCGATGTCGAGAGATGAGCGCACTGCCACACCGGTTGAAGACCCCGCTCCCGAGAACAGCAAAGGTGAGCTCATCATAGTCGAATTTGATGTGGCTGTGCAACAGGCCATTATGTTGTCTCATAATTTTTCAACGCTTTTACTTTCTCATGCCATAACTCATACTCCTCTTTCTGCGGACAAGTTTTGGAAATCAGACAGAAAAACATAAGACACCTGAATATTTTCTCAAAGCTTGTTCCACATAAGGTCCGAAGTCGAAATCCAAAAAGACTTGAATGACCGGAAAACCAAGAAAAATCATATCTTCGTCCAAAAAATTTCTAAATTCCTACTGCTCAAGCATTTATTCACATCCTTACATTTGCTTACCTTTTCATGTCTAAAAATAAAAAGTATTCGAGTTTCTGCTGAAGCTGCGCTGGGTTACTCCCGTAAAGGTGATGAACCTTTGGAAGCAAATCATAGAATTTTGGAATTTCTGAAGGCGATAACTTTGAGAAATATCAAATTTAGCTCTAAAATTCCGAAAAAGGCGGTTTTCGCATCATTGGCCTACTTTGGTATATGCATGATTTCCGAGTCTTAGCCATGCAAAAAATAAGCAAATTTACATAAAGCAGGAGTAGAATGTGTAGGTGTGAGCAAGTAAGAAGCTTGTAGGAATTTTCTGAACGGAGTTACAATTTTCGATTTGACGCACTCAAGTCCTTTCAAATTTTGGCTTCAAACCTGTGGAACAAACTTTGAGCTACCGTTGAGGTAACATCTTGTCGAAGGGTGGCACAAAACCTATCTGAATAGCAGACAAACAAAAGTCTTTTTTTGAGAATGTAAAAGCAGTAAAAATTATGAGACATATTTGATATAGTTAGCGGCTTGAAATTGTTGAGGTTTTAGCTTGGTCAGTAGGGCTGCGAAGTTCTAATAAGTTTGATATTTTAGGAATGAGCCGTGCCCAATTTCGAAAGTATGGCAAAGAAGCTGTGGACTACATAGCTAACTATCTGGAAACTATCCATAAAAGGCGCGTAGTACCCGCGATTGAACCTGGTTACCTGAAGGTTATTTCGTGTTTCAAAGCAGACAGTGTGCACTCGTTCCCCTTTTTCAGAACCTGATTCCCGAAGAAGCACCTATGCAACCGGAATCATGGGAAAAAGTCATGGACGATTTTGAGAAACTGATCATGCCTGGAGTCACCCATTGGCAGCATCCTCGATTTCATGCTTACTTCCCAGCTGGAAACTCTTTCCCTTCCATTTTGGCAAACATGATCGGCGATGGTATTGGAAGTAACGGGTTCAGCTGGGTACGTGTCTTGCGTCCACACTGTTTTCGATTCCTCTTGCCAAGGCTCGTTTTACAGGCTGCGTGTCCTGCCATCACAGAATTGGAAATGATAATGTTGGACTGGTTTGGAAAGATGATTGGCTTGCCTAAAGAGTTCCTCCCACTAACTGAGGGCGGCAAAGGAGGAGGCGTAATTCAGGTACTGATTACTAGCTGAGAGCAAAACTCTCTAGTAACAAAGAACTATATTTTTCTTAAACAGGGATCAGCTTCCGAATGCAACCTCGTCTCTGTATTGGCCGCTCGCTTTGAAGTAATGAAGGAACTTCGCCAACGTTTTCCGTTTGTAGAAGAAGGCCTTTTGTTGTCCAAACTCATTGCATATTGCTCGAAAGAGGTGGGTATGAATGAGATTTTTGCCGTTCATTTGAGTGGATAAGAAGAGAACGTCTTCATTTCAGGCCCACTCCTCTGTAGAGAAAGCTTGCATGATCAGCATGGTAAAACTGCGAATCCTTGAAACAGACTCGAAATATCGTTTGCGAGGAGAAACACTGCGAAATGCTATACAGGTACCAAATGAAGATGGTGATGTGCATCAAAATATAAGGAATTGTCATAAGCTAGCAAAGCTGTAGGTTGTGCCGATTTTAACAAAAATCGAAAGTATTGTACAGGGTCTTACAAATAATTTATCAAAGGTTTGATTTTAACAACTTTTTTGTTGAAGAGCTTTCGCGGTTTTTCGAACACTGTTCTGAACAGCTGGCTTCAACTTGAATTTACAATATGAGCGGGTCAACGGAACTGTTCATTACTGTAGGATTACGGCAGTAAAAGTTTGAAGAGATTTTAGCAAAAGCTCACATTTTGCCCCAAAAAGCAATCAAGCAATCTGAAAGCTTCTACACCTCTAGGCTAATAAGACGCGCTGGTTCTATATATTAAGTTGGCACTTTACTTTGAATGTTTCTTTTATGATTTTCAAATCTAGCGGCTGTCATCTCAATGTTTCTCAGAATCATGGGATTATGGGATGATTATGCGATTATGGGAGTTGAGAAGCCTTAAAAATGTGTAAAAATTGGCATTGTCTGAACTTTTTTCTTTCTGGAAAGTCGGTCAATTCACAAAGTTACCATATGAAAGAAGTTCCTACCGCAATTCAATGATGCAGAGCGACCGATGATCTGCTCTATACTGTGATTCGTTTGGGCCAGCTCTAGAATGTGGTGTTTGAATGGCCGCGAATGCTATGTATACAAGAAACTCATAGAAGATCAAGCCTACACATTATTTCGGGACATCTATATAATTTTGAGATGACACGACGCTTTTTAACTTTCATCGTAAAGCAAAAACTTTGCTGTTTTCTTGCTGAAGGATATGAAAAGTTATAGACGCACATTGTCATGACAATGAAGGAGAGAAAATAAGACCGCATCGCACGTTTAGCAAGGAAGATGTGCATATTGTGGTGTCTTAGGGACACTAACAACATATCTGCTTTCCAAATCTGCGGAATGGTAAAAGAAGTTACTGACCTCTGGTTCAAGGGTTCCTGTATCTACAGTCGAATGGAATACGACTAGATGCGCTGGTAGATAGTTGGTAGCAGTTAGCTTCTAGCCATAATAGCGGCTTCAAACCTCATAAGTATCCATCTCTTTTGCATTTTTTGCAGAATTTCGTGTTTCTGCATCATTCTTGAAAGCGAATACCAGTGGTTTCGTTATCATTGCGTTTCGAAAAACATGTATGCTTCAATGATGATGCATAATCAGTTGTTCCGTTGGTAAAGAAGGCAAAACCTGTAAAACTAGGGGCCCTTCACAGGACCGCGAGATTTGGAAAGATGATATGCTGTAACAGCTTTGCTAAACGTCAGTACTCGGCATCCTTTACTCGTTAGAAAATATGATATTTCAAAGAAATCTCTGAGTCAGCCCCATTCTGTTTATCTTAAGGCTTACCTTGTGACTGTTTTAGGAAGACCGAAATCTTGGGCTCATTCCGTTCTTCGTTTCCACCACCCTCGGTACAACATCATGCTGCTCATTCGACGTACTCAGCGAAATCGGGCCCGTCTGTGAAGAGAATGAGTATGCTGCTTATTGTTGTTCTAAATCTTAGCCGAATTCCAATGTCCTAGGCTGTGGCTCCATGTTGATGCAGCCTATGCTGGCTCGGCCATGATCTGCCCGGAATTCCGCCATCTGATGAATGGTATTGAGTATGCAATGTCGTTCAATACGAACCCCAACAAATGGATGCTAGTGAATTTCGACTGCAGCACTATGTGGTTGGTCATGTCCTTTGATCTTGATTTTTATCCAACTGTGTAACACTAGTGGTGGATGAAGACATTCTTATTTAGGGTAAAGGATCGCTTCAAACTAACACAAGCCCTCGTGGTGGACCCACTCTACCTACAACACAGCTGGACAGGTTCGTCTCATTTTGAATGTAATTAAGTCATACACAATGGACTGCAATTTCGCATAAATCAAGGCGAAAAGAAATATACGGCACATTTTATTAACGATTACACACTTGTAGCTTTGATTTCCACGACACTCACTAAAGAGAGAAATCAATCACACTTATTTTCGGTACCTTGTTTCTCAGCTTAAGCTTATTGCTCTCCGATAAAGCTCATTTCTCAGTAACTCTCTCCTGTAATCTGCGCGCTTCTTGATCAATTGCGCAGTAGCGTTTTTGGCTACCAGAGGCGATGTCAAAAGAGTTGCTTTTTCAACATGGCATTTGGTTGTATCCAATGCTATGCGTGCTTAAAATGAAGTTTATGGAATGAACGCTGTTTGGATGAAATACTGAAAGTCGCGTCGCGCCATACTATTAGCAGAACTGGTCACGTCCAAAGGGGTGAGAAAACGAACGTTTTTTCGGCCATCTCGCAACTACTGGTCCTTAAAAGCAGCAGCTCGGCAGAATGACAAATTCCAGATATCGATCGTTCTCGGTTTTCCTGGACGAGCTAAGTCCAAGACTGTGTTTAGCAACTCCAAAAAATATCAATAACCCGCTTTTCCAGGTGACGTGCTATTTGCGCGGACGGTGTATGCCTACCCTCTAGGGCGCGATTGCCTCGTGGGTACGGTAGGTACGGTGTCTCCACTCACAAGCCAATCGCGCTCTAGAGAGCAGGCATACGCGGTCCGCCCAAAGAGCACTTTTCACGTCTGGAAAAGCGGGTTATTTATACTTCTGAAGCTGCAAAGCACAGTCTCGGACTTAGCTCGTCCAGGGGAACCCAGAACGATGAATATCTCCAAGTTGTCATTCTGCCGAGCCGCTGCCTTCAAACATGGGCAAGAACATATAGGGCAAGGACTAGTTGTCCGCGGTGCGACTTGAAAATGGCGGAGTTCGCACCCTACCGGCAAAGAGTCAATTGCCGCCAAATTGAGCAGAGAACTGTGGTGCTCATTTTCCTGGGTCCACAAGCTAATCACCTTGCGGAAAGCTGACCCCCCACGATATTTTTTGACCCCATGCGCACCAGCGCTTCGATTTCAGCGTCTAAATTAGGGACGACCTTTTGATTTTTTGCTAGCTTTGGGACACGGTCTTGGAGTCAGCAGGCTAAGAAAGTGAAGGAGGAGGAGAAAAAGGTCTCCGGAATCTGCCTAGATGCTGCCACTTGCGGAACTCCCATCACGTTCTAAAGTTTGCTTTACTTACTGTTGCTGCATTCTCACCTGAGTTTATCCGATTTCATTTTTCTATGATTTCATTTGAGGTTCTGAAATTGATATACTAGTAACTGTATCACTAGCGCAGTGCAGCAAATCTGAAATTGCTTTAGCACACTATTTGGTTTTTTTTGATTGATGATTGTCGATATTGTTAATAGAACGTCTGCCTAAAAAACAGTCTCTTTTCGTGTCTGCATGTCCAAGGTTCACCATTCAGACAAATCCATAGACTACCGCCACTGGGGCATACCGCTGAGTAGGCGTTTCCGTTCACTCAAGTTATGGTTCGTGATCCGATGTTACGGTGTGGAGGGCCTCCAAAAGTACATAAGAGAGGTACGTGCTTCATACAGTCTGTGGCACTGAAAGCGCTTTCTACTCGCATTTCAGCATGTCAGACTAGCGAAGAAGATGGAAGCACTGTTACGAGCTGATCAAACATTTGAAATTATCGGTGACGTCATCATGGGCCTAGTATGCTTCCGAATGCGGGTAAGAGTCAACGAACTCTGTAACTTTGAAGTGCAGGATCTTCTCACTTTAGGGCTCCGACGAATGCAATCAACAGTTACTGACGCGCCTCAATAGCTCAGGGAGGATTCACATGGTAGGCATATTCATCAATTATTCGTAGCGTGAGTGACCCGCGGAGATGTGACTCTTTTTCACGGGATCTTCTTTTTCGTAATGTACGGTATAACTAATTATAGCAATTTTATGGTACTCCAACGGTGCTGACAACATTTGCGCGTAAAAATTGGCTACCGCCTGCACATTTGCATGCTCTATGCTCTGCAGACCATTTTTATACGTAGATGGTATCGGTACAGGGACATTATTGACCGTGAGCAAGAATAAGTTTGAGACTAGCAACGAAAACCTTAAAGACCATACTATTTTATTTTTGTAGGCATTTTCGTAGTTACTGTAATGCCATTAAGCTTCGAACTTATGTCAAAAACTTTTCGGGGCGGAGTTGTTCGGCGATTTCAGGCCCATTTGCGAGTTCATCACGCGAAGTCGCTGAAAGGTGTTTTAAAAGATTTATTCTTTTGTGCGGGAAAGGATATGTGTTCGTGAACTGCACGCTCCTGGTGCAGTACACCAATGAACTAGGGGGACATGGGACAATCGAACAGGAGACATTTTGTTTATTTACATAGATTACTGGACTTCAGTCATTTTTGGCAGAGACGGCATGCAAATATTTTGAGCGAATTAGGGGCATCTGCCGCAGCTAGTAGCAGATCTTCTATGGACCCATTTATTAAGAAACATTTGAGAGATGTGAGATATCTTTGCACGTAAAAATGCTTATTGTGAGATACCTTCCATTTTACATAGATATGGGTTTGATAACAGTGTGCATATTCATCTCACGCATGAGGAGCGGAATGCGTGGCCCGATACCAGCGAAGGTGTTCGATGGTGGAAAATAATTATATTCATTCAGCATTGCATACTCAAAGATATCTCTAGCATTAGCAGCAAAGATCTACGTTTACTTCTTGCATTCTATTTGAAGAAATAGTGTGCTCTATGACTCATTGCCTCTCTTAACTCTTACTTTACATGTTGTCTTCTAAACGCTGGCTAAAGAACGCTAAAGAACCACTGATGAAAGTGATTCAAATACTTTACGCCTAGAGGGTTACCATGGCTGATTTAGCTCCTAGACCCAGAGCTAGTATATGCAAAAGAAAAGAAAATTATAAATAATATATCCAGTTTCCGTTTCATTCCTTCCACTAGACGGAAAAAGAATAGGAATACGACCTTTCCCGGAAATCATCAGTAGTGAAGGAAGGTCGTAAGCGTGAAAAGAAGAAGAAGAAAGATAAAAGGAACTAACCTTAACCGGTCGGACGATGTTGAGCTCGCATTTCGGGTGGTCCAGTGTCTGTAAAGAATAATAATTGAAGTGAATGAGAATTAAAGCTATTTTTGAACGATTGAAAGATGAAAAGTCTACATTGGCATGAAAAGCGTGATGGAACCACTGAATTTTCCAATAAAAATCGAGTCCTAAAATGGTGCCTCTACCATAAAAACACATATTGCTTTTGTCTTTTACTCTCTCACAGATAAAATTGACTTCGATTTCGTTGTTTCCTATAGCCACCTGGCAAAGCCCATTTGCTGGTGTTCTACACATATCATCTACAGGTGCACCCGTGTCTCTCAACCTAATTCTCCCTTGTATTATGAGAAAATATAGCGAACGTCAAGGAAGAAACAAGTTATCATGAAATCATGTGGTTATATGTATTATACATCCAGTACCGCTCGCATAACCTGCAGAATTTTTGGGAATGTCGCGGTTTTCCACAGAATTCCCGGAACTTCGCGACATTTCCGGAATTTCGTGGATTCCCGGAATTTCGCGGATTGGGAAATTTTGCACGTTATTTGAGCGTTCTGTATGATCATGTTGTATGGTTTCAGGTTCCTGCTTCGCTGAATGATCGCTTCGTAATCCGCTTCTGCGTCGCCGCTGAAAATGCCACTGACAAGGACATAGAGATAGACTATGCGATTATTAGTCAAATGGCTCAACATATCCTGCGTGAGTTTAGCTATGAAGCTCAGGTTCACTTATAGATGGACATTTTCTTCTTTGAAAGCGTATCATGGAAATCCCTTTGCAGACGAGGGAACAGCACTTCCAATAGTCGAGGATCAGGAAGCGGAGCAGCTGGAAGAAGCCGGATATGATGCCGAAGTTGTACCTGTTGCTAATGCTAATGTAGTAGTTAATTTGCCTACTATCATGGCTTAATCAATCAAGTTATTACTCCTGCTCATTCGGAGTAACAGCTTTTTGCTAAATTCTAACAAAAAGCTATCTCGAACGCTTTTGTAAAGTCATAAGTTTGTAAAAAGAGGGGATATTAGGAAAAATAGCACATCCTTCTCATTGTTGGGCGGTCTGTGAATCATGGCTTTGAGAAACTTTATTGATTAATCTTTGAGCAATTCAAGAATTTTATGAGGCTGAACCGAAGGTTTGTGCGCTCAATTTTCAAAAAATTCCAATCTCTTTTTCTATCATAACGATTCTGCTCGCAATAAATTTTATTGGAAAGCGTAAAGGGTGTGCTTTCCAATAGTGGCCTAAAGGCTTTCCGCTAGGTTCCAATTGCAGAGATAAATACCGAAGAAGGGAATCTTTCGAAGTTCGCCGATTTTGACTGCGCTGTAAATCTAAACAGCAACTATCCTCAGTGTTCTGACCTTCTCTCTCTAAATGAGCAAAGCTTGTGCTGATCGAGCTTTTCTTTGGAGAAGTTGTGACTTTCGAGAGGAAATGCCAAAACATTTTTCCTGAGAGATTTATTTTTTATGAATTTTTTCTCGATCATAACTTCTCAAAGAAGAGCTCGAACAACTTTGCTTACTTCGAAAGAGGAGGTTAGAAAACCAAAAATAATGGCTGTTTTGGATTTTATTGCCAGTTTTTGGATTTTCAAAGGGCTTACTTCATATATCTGGGCGAAGATTTTCTTCTTCCATTTTTATCTCCGCAACTAAACCTGGCTGAAACTCGTTAAAGGCACCGTCCACCCAAAATTTTGACCTCCATGTTTTGCCTTTCCAGGGCCTTCTCGTACCCCTGATTCCGATTATCAATTCGGAAATCCGAGGAAACCACGAAAAACCCCAGTTTTCAGAACCCGCAGAGCTATTCTTCGCAACGGTGATTGGTTGAGCGCGCACGGATGGGCGGGACAAACGTCACGCTCACTCAAAGGGGAGTAGCCAACGTGGCGAATCTGTCATCCGAGCGATTTTCAAAGCAATTCTCTCGCTTCAGAAGCAACTTTTGCCAGTGCGAGTTGGATAAGTATACAGTTGGGGTCCCACTACTGTTGGGCATCAAAATCTCATCAACCCAATTTTGGGTGGACGGAGCCTTTAAGCCAATTTTGGAAGGTGTATGCTTTAGGTTTTCTGATAAAACTAGATATGAGTAGAATCGTTCTGATAGATCGAAGTAAGGATTTTTTGATTGTTGACTGTAAATAGTTTTGTGCAAACGAACTTTCGGTTAACCTACCCTGATTTCACGCGTGTAAGACGCACCCTTCCGGTTTTTCAAGCGTGCCGCTCAGCGACCTCGTTGTGTTTTGGAACATTTATGCGGACTTGACGTATGGCGCACGGTATGGCAATATGCAGCACTGTTAATAGTTTTTTGGTGCGAAGTTCTTCGGCGTGTCTGTGCTGTTCGAATTTGGAAAAAGATCCCTCGCGTCCTATACGCGTGAAATTGGGGTAATATGATTGCTTTATTTTTTGACTTCTCGGCAGAAATCACTTTCTTCAGAGCCTAGAAGCGAGTTCCATAGAATAGTATACGACATAAAAAAGTGATGCAGTAACTCATCAGAAACATGGTAACCCATTGTTTTATAGCTAAATGTTGATGATGATGTTGACCAGGTGGATTAAACTATACTGTAACGGGATTTTGTGCCCCACTTCATTTCATATGGGTCCCTTTTGCTGCTTTGCAATGCTTTCCATTTTCTTGAAAGTAGAGCGAGCGCTTTTATTAAGAGCAGAGTCCGGGTTAAAAGTCGATTTTGAGATTTTGTGCTTACCCGGCCCTATTCGCTATGCTAGATCCGAAAACCCACACTGGAGAGCGCGAAAACGGCAAAAAAGGGTTCTAACGCAGGAGGGAAATCAGCAGGGACGGGGGCCATCCCTACTGTGAATTCATGTTCCCAGCTTCTGGAACGATCTCCTCAATTCCGCTGGCCGCCCTGACATCGCCACCGGCTTAGTGCGAACGAGTGACCTAAAATCGGAAGCAAGATCGCTCCGGAAGATGGGAGCGTGAATCCACATTGGGGAAGACTCCGCCAAACTGCTGATTTTATCCTGCGTTAGAGCCCTTTTTCGCTGCTCTCGCGCTTTCTAGTGTGGATTTTCGGATTCAGTATTGCGAATAGGCCCGGGTAAGCACAAGATCTCAAAATCGACTTTTTTGCTCGAACAGTGCCTTTAACATGGATCGTGGTCGGATCACTATGATGTACCAGGAGGTGCGAGCGCAAAGTTTCGACTGCAATCAACGTTTTGCTTGCCATTTACTTGCGCTGATTTAAGCTGTGGTGCCGCCCAATCCAGAAAATCCTATCAGAACATGTTAGGTTGTCCGGAAATTAATGCAGGTTTTGAATTCCAACCGCAATAAGTGATACACTTCTCATTTCTAAATAGGTTGCAAGGTAGCATTCGATAGAGCAAAGCAAGCTCTACAAAATGGCAATCTTGCTTTAGCAACAGCTCTGATCCACCACGAGTTTCGAGCCAAAAACTAAAAAGATTCATCTGTCTGAAAAATTAAGAAAAATCGTAACTCAGTTCATAAAAGTTCTACAAAAATTCTAACTTGCTCACGTAAACACAATCCACATAGAGCAACTATATACGCCATTGCCGTATTTTTTCTCTATTAGAAATCAAGAAAACGGAAATTTTCGTGCATTTGCCGAAGTGGTGCTGTGCCGTTCCACATAGGTAGCTGTATACTACAAACCTGTAGAAGTGTAAACGTAGATTTCCAGCTTTCTACAAGCTTTAGTTCTCGAGAAATTTTAATTTTAGCTTGGACCCATGACTAGGGAAAACTGTATTCGATATATTTCGAGAATTGAAGCTTTTAGAGAGCTGGAAATCTACGTTTACACTTCTACAGGTTTGTAGTATACAACTACCTATATGGGAACGGCACAGCACCACTTCGGCAAGTGTACGAAAATTTCCATTTTCTTGATTTCTAACAGAGAAAAAATATGGCAATGGCGTATATAGTTGCTCTATGTGGATTGTGTTTACGTGAGCAAGTTAGAATTTTTGTAGAACTTTTATGAACTGAGTTACTATTTTTTCAGACAGTTGAATCTTTTTAGTTTTTGGCTCGAAACTCGTGGTGGATAAGAGCTGTTGCTAAAGCAAGATCGCCATTTTGTAGAGCTTGCTTTGCTCTATCGAATGGTACCTTGCAACCTATTTAGAAATGAGAAGTGTATCATTATTGTGGTTGGAATTCAAAACCTGCATTAATTTCCGGACAACCTAATAGAGCACCCGCGAACACCACTCTATGACCATACATAAACAACAACCGCTAAATGAAACCATCAAACACAGCGCGCACAGTTACAGTATAACATCATGATATGAGTTGAAAGGAAAGTTTCATTTCAAGTCTGAATGCGAGTGCGAAAATCCCTGGAAGCGTATTGTATCGAAGAAAAAAAAATCAAAAACTGATTAGTAACGATGGATACAACGCAATTACACTAGTCCTAGACTTGATTACGATACTCAAGGGCCAATATGGTTTGAGTGAGACATAATCGTGTTACAGCGTGGTACTTGGTGGTTAGTGATTAAAGGCACCGTCCACCCATTCTCGACTTACATGTTTTTGGTGTTCCGACGCCTTCTCATGCCGCTGATTCCGAATATGAAGTGAGAATCCGCGGGCCCCACAATCCCCGTTTATAAGGACCCGCGGGGTTGTTGAAGTGGATGGTGATTGGTTGGGCAGCACAGACGGGCGGGCATTACTGGGAAGGGGAGGGGGCAGTGCCGACTTGGGGTCCTCGTGCCTCTTCGTTAAACCGGGGCGATTTTCTTGCTCCGAATCGACATTTCGAGCAGCAAACTGGGCATAGGCTTGGTATGAGGCCCTACTATCGTATGATACCAAAAAGCTGGAGACCCCTAATTTACGGTGGACGCTGCCTTTAAGCACCACATTCATCAAGTCTGTACTCTTAGTCATCTGTTGTCGTTTGGAAGAACGAAGCATTTAAGTTTCGTGAACAAACTGAAAAGTGTAGTCTGTTGTAATTTTGCTTTACAATAAAATCAAATTTAGACGTTGGCAGATGAGATGAGACAAAATTCACTGGAAGAGAAGCCATTGACAAAGGAGGAAATGATAGCAATGAAGCAGAAAGAGGGGTTGGCTAAGAAAAGGTATATCAGCACATTGATTAGTTCGAAATCACTGATATAATACGAGCAACTTTCAGATCGTTCCTCGTGCGCATGGTATCGGATCCGAAATGCTACAATCCGAAGATCGTTCGCCATCTCAACATGGCCAATCATCGAAAAATGAGCCAAGACCTATACCGTGACAGAACACTAATGCAAGTGGTGATAGACTCGCTCAAAAAGATTGCTCAGTTTTTCTCTGCAAGTTCAGGCAGACAATATCTAATAGCCAGCGACAGAATCGGCTCCCTCAATCCCCAGGATCATGCAATTCGTGTGGGTTAGGATCAAGGATTATCGGGTTTGAGATTTGTAAGTCTACTTTCAGCCGTAAACTTCAACTCACACTTTGATGAAGATGTGGAGCACACGCGCATCGCCTTCTCACAAACTGGCTTGCAAACGCCCATTTAACTTTTTTTTAGAAACTTGATTTCACGAAGTTAGTTGATTTTTCCCGTTTCTTAAATGTAAAACATAATGTACATATGCTCCACGATATGGTCGAGAATTGTGATTGTTTTATATTGAAAGTAGTCGATTAACAAGTTAGCAATATGGTAATATGAATGAAACCCAAGTGAACTTGATTTATCTCGCAGTTCCCATTTCTTATGATGCATGCTTCTATTGTATTAAATGCTTCTGATTAACCTATCCACTTATCGTTAAACCGTTTGCCCGTCGCAATACAACTTCTCCCTGTAGAAGTTGAGTCCCCTTTGTAACTGTTTCTCTACGACAATTTTGCTTTAGTAGCTTTCTTTTGTGCCCTATTCCAAGATCATGCATGGTGCAAAAAACATGATATCAGGAAGACAGAGGCACCGTGATGGGAAATAATACAGGACTCTTGTAGAATACTCGTTTTATCAATTGTAACTATAACTGACAATAGCATAGGAGAATGTTCAAGTAATTAATCTGGTTGCCATTACATATTGTTTCCTGTACATTCACTTATGCTGTTGTTGGCTGATATTCATGTCAAATAGAGAATATTAGTGAATAAATCATTTTTCGTTCTTGGTTGTTCTAGCAGTATTAGGGAATTAGAGGCTAGATATCATGAAAGTTTCTTTTGTTTTTTGACTTGAGAGCAGCGTGCCGGGAAGATCTGCTTCTAAAGATTTCCCGCTCACTTCGCTTATCCGTCCTGCTGACTCCAAATGTGCACCTTCAATTGGAAAACGGACTTTCCTTAGAGCCCATATAATTAGGCCGTGAATACGCGAAGCCCGCCAGTTAAGACGCAGAGTCGCTGTGGGATCAGGGCCCAACACAGATAGTCTGGGGTCAAACTGACTTTGTTTTTGAGGATGGAAGTGAGATATCGTTTTTATGAGGTCCTAGGCGAACCGAAAAAAAACAAACATGTCAGGTTTTACGAGTTGAACATGTTCTTTCGCAAGCGCGGGTTTCAAATGCAAGACTCAAATAGACAAATGGCTGGCGTACAGCGCACAAACAATCACATAACACCGAATATGAGCTATGTGTATACAAAATTCATATTCTCCATATATGTGAAATTTCAAAAAACTGATGTGTCCTAATACCCGTTTCCCGAATTTGTTGGTTTCTAGACCAACACCAAACCATCTGGGTTGCTATGGAGCACAAAAATGGGGAGTTCAAATAAATTTCGACCTTTTTTGTTTGGAAGATTAAACGCTCAAAAATCTATCATATAGTGAAAAGAGTGAATCAAACCATTCCTTCTCCTCTTTTTCTGAACCAAAAATATCTAAACCTACGCATTGATAGATATAGCGCTCCAATCACGTGTTTGAAATCAGCGTTTGAAGCTGATTCAAAATATATATGTACCTTGCCAAAAGGCCGAGCTACAGGTAGCCTCCCTTGTAAGCAGGGTCAAGCAAGGGGTGTGGCACACGATCGCTGGTTACGACCCCCCCCCCCTGATTGCTGTCTTAATAAGACCCCCCCCCCTGAACTATATACCTAAGATAGCTTTAACAGAGTTGAGAAAGAGGTCAGGCACAAGTCTTTCGAAAACACCCCTCCCCCCTCCCATGAAAGCCCTCAAACGACCCTTCTCTTAACCTTAATCTTCTCTTAATCTTCTCTTAATGTCACACTTTGAGGTCCTCTGGACCTCAAAGTGTGACATTCTGGAGGACACCAGCTTTTTCTAGAGAGTTTTCAGATTTCTGAGAGCTGTACGCCCGATTTTCTGTGACTGCACTTTACAATCACACGTAATTTGACGGCTGATTTTGTTCTGAATGGGCATATTGAAAGGGCCATAATTTTCTTATGGGTGGTGCGTTCGACTCCAAATTTCCAGTGTTGCAAGAAGAAGCTATGTGCTCAAAACTTATACCAGCAATAGAGCGCTTTCTGGATTTTGAAGGCAAATTAAGGGGGTGCGGCACACCCCCCAAAAGCTGCGGCAGCAGCAGCTTTTAAGGGGGTGTGCCGCACCCCAATAACTATATCAAAAAAACATTTTTAGCGGACAGTATTTATATGAATCGATAGCCTAAAATTTGTAGATTCCATAGGAGTGTTTGGAGCCTGAGTCGTCTTATTAGCTCTGAGTAATATTTGGTGAAAGCACAGCGATCAAAAACGAAAAATGGGAAAAACGAGATTTTGGTTGGCTTCTAATTCCACAGTTTGCAGGTCTTCTGAAGCGGGATTCCTGAGGTGGACAAAGAAGGAGTAGTGCTTTGTCTTGAGTGCAAAAACGGATAGCTAATTCACCTTTGAAACAAAGTTAACCATGTTGGATTGATCATTTCATTTAGGTAGCCTAGTATCTTGAATCTTCAGAATTCGCTCATACTTTGTCTACAGGGGTTAATTGACATGCTAATTATGGATATGATACGAATATCATGTTATCACTATTATCAGATTACCCAACTACGACCCCCTCCCCTTTTGACTCCTCATTACGACCCCCCAGGTGTGGCGTGCCGCACCCCACGCTTGACCCTGCTTGTAAGTCTAATTTCGCCTCCCGCCTTTCCATCTGCCCGCTCATTTCGTTGCTAGCTACATGGTCTGCATGATAAGCACAGTCGAGACGCATATACACATGGATATGATCTTTTCTTCATTTTTATCTAATACGCTTGAATTTGAGTGACACTAGTGTCAGTAAACAAACGTTGGAAAACTGTGGAATAGACTAGCCGTCGAAACGAAGAAAATAGCAATATGGAACAACGTAAACCGCTGCTATACAGTTGCGAAATCAACTTGAAAAGCAAAATCGACAAAGTTGGTACTATGTCCCTCCCGTCTGTGCCAGTAAACGATCTTGCGATTTCCAAAAAACGACGACGGAGGTTCGAAAGGCGGACAAGTTTACTGCAGGCCAATCCCGCCCAATCTATCTGCTGGCGAGGGAGCAAACCTTAGGGACAACATGCGGAATTTGCACATCCTGCAACCCAGAATCTATAAGCTGTGGCAACTAGCATAAGAAGTAAAATCAGGACCACACTTGAACTGGCCTTGACAAAAATATTGGGCGTGTAGAATAACTCAAAGCCCCAGTGTTCCATATTCAGTGGCTATCACTGGGTTAAGCCTTCTGCGCGTTAAGCAGGAACAGTTTCGTACCAAAGTAGTTCTAACAGTTCAACTTAACTTCTTTCTATCTTATCTTCCATAAGCCATCTTTTCACTTTATAGATTTTGTGGTTGTCTGTAGTAGTGATTGATATTTCAAAAATCGTCAAAATGGCGTACTAGGCATATCAAACAAATCGACATTCTATACAGAAATGAAGAGGATCTCAAGTCAGCAATCTAATTGCCTCTACAGTCATCATGTAAAAAAAAATCAAACCCTGTTTGAAGCCATTCAATCTCATATATGTACAAATCATTATAAGTAGTCATCATCAACCAATATTTACGAGATTCTGATAGATTGCAAGTGTCTCAGTACATTTTCGAAATTCTTTCTGTCTCTGATTGTAAATCCAACAAGGTAAGGTCGTCGCGTTTCCCGGATCACAACGTTACAATATGGCTTAGCTCGTAAACGTCTAAAATGCTACTATCAAAAGAGATACTTCAGTAGGCATGGAAAACACAAACCTTTTACTATCGAAGGCCCACCAAATAACATCATCGACTGATCCCCAGGCTATTGATGAGCACTCGTCTGTTTGCGCCTGTATTCTTAGTGATTTTATATCTTGCAAAGGAATACGGGCTTGGCTACCGCATGGAAAATAATAGCACTTGACAAAGATGTCCGTTTCTGTGACCTGAAACATCCTTTGTCACTTAACACCAAGACTTTAAAAATCCAAAAAATTCAAAAAAATGTGAAGAAAATTTCCATTTCACTTCCTATAGAAGGGATATTTGCGAGGTTCAAATTTGCTCGAGGAAACAAATAGATCTATTTGACTTGAAGTGTAAATTAAGATTTCAACCTCGATCACTGTTAGAATTCCAAATTCGCAAAACATAATATATGAAGTACCGATAACGCGGATAACAGTGATAAAAAATCTGTCAAGCAACTCAGTCTTAGTCGGAATGCATTGTTTACAAAGACCATCTATGCAACAACATGTTTTCTTGTTTTCTGAAGGTCAATATGGTTCTCACGGACTCCACAGAAAATCAAGAAAAACAAGAAAATATTTTTTGCAATTTTCAAACTGCTTCTGGGGCAGGGCTCGGCACAGGTGGCTTGTAAAAAGCTGGATACCGTTTCTGGGACAAAAAGCAAAGGGGGTTTTGTTTTTGTGGCCGAAAAGACACAAAATTTGCGACGACGGACCAAAATTTTTGGTCGATGCTTCGTTTCTTGGAAATTTTTTAGGATTATGGTTAAGGGTCAATGGGGAATTCGTAATATTTTGGGAAAGTCAAAGGGGATCGTTTTTGCATTTTCCACAAGCCACCTCATGCCGAGCCCTGTTCGGGAGTTTCACCATTTAGAGGTGTGCATAAGATAAAGCTCTAATGCGCCAAGTTGAAGGTAGGGATTTGTCTGTAAGACTTTGGCTGCCACTGAGATACTCTCAGAACCAAAGCGTACTCAAACGATATAGTCCTCGCATTATTCCAAAAGCTTCAAAAAAGGTATTTGAACTGTTTTTGCGCAAATGGAAGTGAAAGGAATGATTCGTTGTTTCTGCCTGTGGAATTTAAAAATACCTTGCAAAATCGATCTTCGTATAGACTCTCTTTACCATCATCGTTGTCTAGTTCTGATGGAGACTCGTCTTTCTGCGGATCATCAGAGATTACACAGACTCGAGTAATCGCCCTGTGTCGAGGTCGAGCTGGTGTGATCTGAAAATCCTCCCCGATGTGAAAGAACGTATTTGAACATAGAAATATTGCTGCACCTGATGGATCGACGCACATTCATCCGATGACATTACATAAGGATAAATCAGGCATTTACTGCTGTATTGGGAGCGATACAATTTTCCCAAAGCACATAAGAGTTGAGCAGCTGAACGGTTCAACGTTCTGTGATATGGCAAATTTCTACATTTTGTTGCCATGGCAACTGCAGTAGAGAGTCAGTCTGATGATAGCATTACGTAATGACAATAGAGTCTTTGGGCAATTTCCAGTCTTTATCACTAATGCTAGCTAAGTGAGAAATGAAAATCACGAATTTTGTCCATAAGGCGAAACTATGGTCCTGAGAAGATGTATTGAAAAGACTCACAAGGAATGCATGTTTGAAGTGGGCTTTTTAGATGGGATGCATACCATACCGAAGAGCATAAAATGCTAATTCCAAAGCTGCCTACCTTATCTGCAGAACATTTATGGACGAGGAGTTATGAGTGCTTTTTGAAGCAAAATGTTGAATGTGCAAGTAAGACCAATAGCCGTAAACTTTTTTTAGCTTTTCAATGGAGCAGTGAATCATTAGAGCACTACATTCAAACCTTTACCCTAGAATAAAAAATATATCACTTATTTGTTTTATCCAAAATGCACATTCAATTTCTTGCGTAAAAAAACGCTGATAACTCCTGGTCCATAAACATTCTGCAAATCTGATAAGGAAGGCAGATTTGAAATCAGCGTTTTAGCCCTTCAATATGGTATACATCTCATTCAAAAAGGCCGCTTCGAGTAAAAGCCTCCCTTGACAGTAGTGCAAATGGCCTTGGCCATGCAGGCCCCCGCTCGAGTAGGGCTTCAGATGAAACTGAGGGTCAACGGCTCTGAGGCACACAGCTGCCTACTTTGCCTCACGTAGCTCCCGATCATGCTGCCTTGGTAAGGAATGTTTTTTAGCCAATCTGACTTTCTGACGTACCGCTGATTCAACGTTGTCTTCAATATCTGCTTCTCTAAAGGCCGAATCGGGAATATTTTTTGGAGCTGAAAATGAACTTATGTTTTAGGCAAAGCAATTACGATCCTTCGGCAAGTGCAAGATAACGACACTAGCCTATTTTGCGGTCTTCAGTAATTTGAATTCGATCGCGCGTTTTTTACTGACACAAAAATTGTTTTAATTCGGCGCAACAAGATTCTTGTTAGATTTCTTGTGCGAACCTGTGTTTATCTTCCTCTTTTCCCTAACGGTCATAAAAGTTCATTCTTTCTAATATTTCTCGAGTTTTGTTTATCATTCACTCGAAAATGGTTAGAGGATGGGTATTGTCTTTGAAGTGGCTAAAGCATAGTGTTCGTTTTTTAGGGCAAGAACATGTCATTTACGTTCGCAGTGATCTTGCTCTCCGTTAGTTTTCACCGTTGAGCGATTTGAGCTCCACTGTGCATAATATACCTGTAGCAATGGCGGCAGCGCTGCGGAATCTAGCAGGATCCGCTACTGAAAAAAATGAGAATAATACAGGTTTTTGGAACTACTATTAGTCACCGCTGGGTTCTTACTGACCTCCAGCGAAATGTTCCACGAGGTGCCTCTTTTCCGTTCTTATTATGCAGAATCAAAATAATGTGGCGCTATCTAGCGACTTGGTTTTAGAAGCCTGAGCCGGACCTCTAAAGTATGTTTATAAAAGAATGGTTCGGAGAGGTGATCGCGAACAACTTACTTTGAGTCTGCTCTTGAGAACTGCTTCCCCATTTCATCACAAATCTGAAGAGCAGAATTGTATAGGGGCACTTGTTTCGTCACGCGATAAAGTGTTGTTTCCACCAGGGGAGGACCAAAAGTCGAAAACGGCTTTCCAACTGAAATATGCACCAATCTGAAGAGCATCAAACGCTGATTCCGATACTGTCTTTTACGAGGCCTGGATTATCCAACATATACATTCTTTTCGCCTTCCCTTGCAATTTATAGCGGAGTTACCGTAACCCAATATTTTTGCGGAATTTTCTATTTGCATAGGCGAGGAAAAACGATTATATCCTTCCCTAGAAGAAACGATTTCAAGTAAAGTTCCTGCCTATGTAAAGAAGAAGATTGAGCAATAGCAACGATACAAAAAAACGCAGCTATTTATGCTTTGAAGGTAAGTTGGGGTGTGGCACCCCCTTAAAAAGCTGTGGCAGCCAAAGCTTTTGAGGAGGTGTGCCACACCCCATTAACTATCTCAAAAAAACATTTTTAGCGAGCAGTATTTATATGAATCGATAGCCTAAATCTCGTAGATTTCACAGGAGTGATTTGAGCCTGATTCGTATTCTTAGCGAGTAATATTTGGAGAAATCACAGCCATCAAAAGCAAAAAATGGGAAAAACGAAAATTTGGTTGGCTTTTAATTCCACAGTTTGGAGGTCTTTTGAAGCGGAATTTCGGAGGTGGACAAAGAAGGAGTAGTGCTTTGTTCCGAGTGCAAAGACGGGCAGCTAAGTCACCTTTGAAACAGAAAATGACCATCTCACTTAGGTGGCCCAGTATTCTGAATCTTATTTTTTCGCTCAAACTTTGTCTACAGGGGTTGACTGACATGCTAATCATGGATATGTTGAACTGTTTGACAGGGCTTTCAAGTAATGATATCCTAGGTATATATTAGGGTGATCCAAAAGTAATGGGGCAGCTAGAGAATAAATGCAGTTTTCTCAAATAGAAAAGCTAATTGGAAGTCCAAGTTTTGGCAGATGTTAGTACATAACAAAACCTTCTGATCGAGGTTTATAGTTGGGCACTGTCACATGGCGTTAATTCTATAAGCGCTTAAAACTGAAGCTCACCACTTCAAGTAATTTTGAACTTTGAGCAGCAACGCCGCAGTAAAACAAGTGAGCCTACCAGAGATACGTGCGCAGCAATGGGTGAGGGGACTGTCACCAAATCCACAATAGCTCGGTGGTCCCAAGGCTTTAGAACAGAAGATGTAGCATCGGGTATCAGGAGACATATTACTTATTCTTTCATCAAGGTAATCAAATAAGCCCAATTTAGCAGTTGCTTTTTGATAGTGCTTTTTAAGCTCTATCCATACATATGCAAATTACTTTGACTTTTCTCATTTTCAAAAGACTGTGTCCCAAAACATGAATTTTAGCCTGAAAATCTGCGCCAAACACCGCACTTTTTCGAATAAAGTGCCTTTTTTGTATAAAATAATGTGCAATTTTTAAATATTCAAGTAATCATTAGAAAGAGTTTGGAAAGCTCTTTCGAATGGTATGCCATATGTCGAGGGACTATCAGGTGCAGCGGCCCAAATTTGAATGGCGTTCAAAAAAGTCTGTCTGACTTCTTTGGAGCGCCACTCGAAGAAATGTCGGTGAGGTGCTGCAAGGTGCTGTCAAGATAACCTGCGAAGGTCACTTTATACAAAGGCGTTAAAAATGCTAGGCGTTCTTAGCTAATCAGAAAGAAATCTTGAAGAATGTTCAAAAAAATCAAGGTGCCCCATTACTTTTGGATCACCCTAATAGTTTAGGGGGGGGGGTCTTATTGAGACAGCAATTAGTGGGGGGAGGGGGGATCGTAACCAGCGATCGTGTGCCACACCTCTTGCTTGACCCTGCTCATAACTCAGCGTTTAGAGGAGCTTGGTGGATAACAAGGACAGTTTGAAATCAGCGTTTGATGCTCTTAAAATTGGTGTATGTTTTATGTGGAAAGCTGGCTTTGATGTCGGTTTCCTCCCCTTATTCAAATTTGCGGGAGCGCTTACGTTACAATATAGGAGCATTCACCTTTATTATACTTACACAAACACGATTTTTTCTCGATATTCTCCTGTTCGGGTTTGCGAATGTCAACTTAATTCAAAAGCTGCTGGGTTCAAAGTCTTTCCAGCTAACTTCTTTTCGAAGCTGGTCTTGATTTGATTCGTAGCTAATTTTGGTAGTTCTCGTGAGCGTCCAGTCCAGTAACTTTGCTGAATTATGAAGAATCTTGTTGCAACATTGACGTAAGAATTGTTCCCTAAGGCCTAAGTCAAACCTCACGCAATATGATCAAATTGCGACGTCGCGACTTGACGTTCAATTTTCACAAATCGTTGGAGGCGAAATTTTTCAATTCAAAAATTCAATTTTCAAATGCATAGCCGCTTAGCTTTTGTAAGTTCTTGTATATAAACGAATCAAGTCCGTTCAAACAAAGGGCAGCAACGACCATTTATGAACAGTCGCTTCTGCCCGAATTTCAGCGACTGAAATCGCGTGAGGTACACCTCAGGCCTACTAAAACTCCTATAAACTCTGAACCAACGGACTAAAAGCACTTTTTACAAAGGAGACCAATCAAAGATCACTTCAGAGCAATCTCCCGAGTTGCGGAAAGCACAGGCGAACTCGACATGGCGTGCGCGGCACAACTCAGTGGGGTGTGGCAACCCCGACTTGCAGATACCTATCTTTCGCCGTATTCCATAGATTGATAGAGAACGCGAAACCAGAACGAGATACATTAGAAATTATCGCGGCACTATCCAAGCGAATCGCGGCCACAAAACGCGGTTCAAAAGATCATCACTTCGAATTTAGAAAAATTACCTAAGTTAAGAGTGAAATAGGACGTGATCAAAAGTGTTGTTTTGAACTGTTGATCTTGCGAAATCGACTCTCCAGTCGATTAGCTCGGGCCAAAGAGGCGGAGCGAAGCGGCCCCGAGCCTAAGAGAGGATGGAGTGTCGTCCAGGCATTTGGACACATACGGAGCGGTCGCCTGCTCTTCACATCCGTATTCATTCGAACTCTAGATGGGCGACGATGGACGTCAAGCGCCACAGGACACCTGCGAAGATTTACACGAGGAAGAGGTGTTTGCGGAGGAAATGGCACCGGCGCAACCCGAATCTCTTCGATTGGATCGACGCGATCTACGGAGCATTCTGGAGGCTATCAGGTCAAAAAACCAGTTTCCTTCAACCTCTTCTGCACCTACCTTCAAACGCTGCGCACGTCAACACGATTTTAACTTGTCGATTATCAGAAAACTTGTTACTTTGCAAGGTTGCCAAGAGGTAGGCGCTGTGATCTCTTCCGTCATCCAGGATCTACTCAGACAATCGCCGGGGGCAGGCGGTCCACAAACTCGCGTTTTTCTGCAGGCGGTCAGCAGAATTTTGGGGCGTGGCCAAACCTTCAGCGGGCGGCACTTCCTTTACTGTCTAATGTTGTGCCAGCGGGCAGTAACACAGAATTTTCAGCAGGCGTTCGTCAAATAATCTCTTTCAGCGAGCGCTGGCCGAACTTTCAGCAGGCGCTCGGACTCTTTTTACGCAGTTTCGGGCATACGTTGACACAGGCAAGACATTGTGTGGCAGAGGTGTCACCGTTGGTTTAATTACTCAGGTTTGAGATACTTTCTCTCAGCGGAAAGTACCTGGGGGCTGCGCGATCCTCCACAAAGGACCGTGCGGCCCTCAAAAACTTTGCATATTCTCGCGGAAAGTCCGCGAGAATGCGGCCACTGCACCGCAGCTAATCCATAAAGAAACCGCGATTGTTCTCCAAGCATTCGCCTAAAATTTCACTATAATTCTTCCACATATCTGCAAGCGGACCGCAAGAAATCAGCGATTTTTCGGTGCCCGCTTGCCCAAAAATCGCATGGCCGCCTGCCCCCGGCGATAATCTGAGCATGAGATTTATGGGCGGGCGGGCACCGGAAAAATAGTTCGTTGATTTCTTGCGGTCCGCTTGCAGATATGTGGAACAATTATAGTGAAATTTTAGGCGAATGCTTGGAGAACAATCGCGGGGGTAGAGGACTATATGTCGCCGAAAAAGGGCGGTCCCCGCGGTCTGCGACAAATACGCACCCTTGTACATGCGCGGACATGCGCTCCTGCGGGGAATCCGCGCGGGACTCTTTCAAATTCGGAGACATATAGTCCTCCACCCTAATCGCGGTTTCCTTATGGATTAGCTGCGGCGCAGTGGCCGCATTTATTCTCGCGGACTTTCCGCGAGAATATGCAAGTTTTTGAGGGCCGCACGGTCCTTTGTGGAGGATCGCGCAGCCTCCAGGTACTTTCCGCTGAGAAAAAGTATCTCAAACCTGAGTAGTTAAACCAACGGTGACACCTCTGCCACACATGTCTTACCTGTGCTCAACGTTTGCCCGAAACTGCGTAAAAAGAGTCCGAACGCCTGCTGAAAGTTCGGCCAGCGTTTGCTGAAAGAGATTATTTGACGAGCGCCTGCAGAAAATTCTGTATTGCTGCCCGCTGGCACAACATCAGACAGTAAAGGAAGTACCTCTCGCTGAAGGTTTGGCCACACCCCAAAATCCTGCTGACCGCTTGCAGAAAAGCGCGAGTTTGCGGACCGCCTGCCCCCGGCGATTATCTGAGTAACTGTAAGAAATGAAACCTTGAAAAAGATCTCGCTGAAGATTATCCTGGTGTTTTCCAGTTTTTAGATTAAAAAAAAACAAATCAGAGTCTCTCAGAGTTACGGACCCTAGGCTGAACGAGTTTCTCGAATCTGTGAAACGCAAAGAGGAGTCTACTTCAAGGAAGAGAAAAGCGGCTCCACCCCCTTCCTTTCGAAAGCAGGAAGCAGCTTGGCCACCCGCCTTCCGCTCTTTCCAGTACGAAACCGAAGGCCCCTCGTCTTTCCCAAGCTACGACAGTCGCTTCAAGACCCACCATGGATACCAACCGTATTTCGAAAGAAATCGCATGCGCAGACAGGAGTACTCCCCGCCGCATCGCTAGGATTACAGGTTCCAACGGGAAGTGGACAGAAAAAAAGAGCGAGTGTAGGACCTGTGGACAAGAAGCTCACTAGTGGCGAGACTGCCCGAAAAGAAAATACCCTAATTTCACGCGTACAAGGCGCACCTTTTTCGATTTCAAACGTACCGCTCAGCCGCCTCGTTGTGTTTCGGAAAACGAGACTTCTGTCGCACAGCACTCTCAGGCAATATACAGCGCTGTATATAGTTTTTTGTTCGCGAAGTCCTTTGCCGTGTTTGGGCTGGTCGATTTTCGAAAAAAATCCCCCGCGCCTTGTACGCGTGAAATTAGGGTAGTGAGTTTTTTGCTGGCTCTATTCACGATAGAGTTTCTGCTTGGATGGCTCTCGAGCCTAATCAGTTGGTCACGACCACGATTATATCAGGGTACTCTATACCCTTCCATAGTGCTCCTAAAAAGGCTAGCTATAGTTTGAATAGGAGAAGTGCTCTCGAGCAGCCAAGTTTCGTGAGTCCAGAAATTTCAGACCTACTTTCGAAGAGAGCTATCCGTCGTGTTCCAGCCAGCGCCCCTCTCTGCACATTCACCCTTTATCTGTCGCGACAGGTAAGAAGTTGCGATTGGTGCTGGACCTATCCCACCTCGATAAGTCCATAACGGTGCCCAAGTGCAAGTTTGAGGATTTGGGAAAAATTTTACATGTTCTTCTTTTCGGGGTTACATGGCAACCTTCGACCTCAAGTCGGGGTACTACCACGTCAAAGTTTGTGACGATCATCTACGGTACCTTGTGTTCAAGTGGCAAGGAGAGGTTTATCAATTCTTGTGTCTTTCTTTTGGCCTCTCGTCCGCGCCACATGTTTTCACCAAGCTTTTCGTCCCTTTGTCAAAACGTGGAGATCCCTCGGCTTGAGTGCCGCTATATATCTCGATGACGGATTAGTATTCGGACCTTCCAGCTCATCCTGCTCTCATGCAGTCGACGTCGTTAGGGCCGATCTCAATAAGGCAGGATTCTTCTTCGCTGAAGAGAAGTGCAGCTGGACCCCGGCACAAACATCAGGCTGAATAGGTTTCATTATTGATTTGTATGAGATGACTATAGAACTATCAGGAGACAGGCTAGTTAGGACAAGAGATAAATTGCGTATATTTTCTCACGTTCGGCCGTCCGTGCACGACAGGTTAAGCTGGTCGGGAACCCTAGCTTCTATGCACCTCAACCTAAGTGATGTAGATAGACGGAACACTATGGCCGTTGCAAGGGAGGTGGCCAGGGCACAGGCTCAGAACTGGGGACTTGGCCGCAAGTGGCCGAAATCTACACCCTATCTTTGCTACTACGCCAACTTGCGGAGAAAGTTGGGAAGTGGAGCGCGAGAAAAAGATAGACATACTAGTAAAATGGGTCCCCCGTGAATTTAATGTGGAAGCCGACAGCGCGAGCAGACAAATAGATTATGACGATTGGGGAATAAGCGGTTCTATTTTCGACACTTTGTCTCGTAAATGGGGCGAGCCAGCTACTGATATGTTTTGCTAATGATAGGAACACTGAATGAGAAAGTTTTTCCCGTTTTCCTTGCCCCAACACAGCTGGAGTCGACGCATTCGATCAGTCACCGGCTTGGACGGAAGGTCTCCTATGGTTGGTCCTGTTACTCTCGTCGAAAACGCTCAAGTGGGCGCATTTTCACAAATCAGTTGTTATCCTAGGATGCCCACTTTGATTTTCATTGTCTTTCTTTCCTATACTCAAACCTGATGGAAAACAGTGGACCAACTTGTTCGCAATGGGGCACTTTTCCCAGTAGGCACAAAACTGTTTGCGGACCTCGGCTTACCAGGGGCTTTTGGTTCACAATACGCCAAGCCCCCATTCATGTTTTTGCTCGCAGATTTTTCGCGATTTCCCCTGTCCGCAAAGGTCTTTACCATCTTAGTCTCCAGGCTTTGTTACTCCACAGTCCCTTATGGTTTTTTAACAGTTAAAAATGGCAAAAATGGTTTATACCAGAGTGTAACGGAGGTATGTGTTGTTTTGAACTGTTGATACTGCGAAATCGACTTTCCAGTCGATTGGCTCGGGGCCAAAGAGGAGGAACGAAGCGGCCCCGAGCTTAAGAAGGGATGGAGGGTCACCCAGGCACTTGGACACATACGGAGCGGCCCTCCCTCCCTCCCCAGTTAGGAGTTACTCTGATATTTTTCTGTTTCAGCACCACGTTTCTCCGAGGGAGCAGCTCTGACAACCGTGGCGAATCGACTGGGTGTAGAGACTATTGGCTCAGTATTCTCCAACACGTTGCAGACGGATAGAGCCGCAACTACGATCAAATCATACAAAGCTGAACTACAAAGATTCATCGCTTGGAAGGAAAGCACAAGGATTTCACCACTGCCCCTCCCAAAAGCTAGGAATCTTTACTTGGCAAAATGCGCTTTCGAAGGAAGGAACAAGTTCTTGCCGACACTCGCCGCTTCACTCAACTATTTTTGCGGATCCTTGTCGGGAGCAGACATAGAAATTCAACGTTCCATCTTAGAAGCGGAGCGCGGAACAGCCCCGGAGGTGAAGCATCGAACCAAAATAGATCAGAAATCTATGCGAACTTTGGTTCTTGAAGGCCTTTCGTCGAGAGATGCTAAGGTAACTCAAGCGGCAACATTAGCACTGCTTCAGTTCAAAGCTTTGCAATTAGTGAGGCACAACTTCTCCGCGTAACCGACGTTGTTCACGTGTGTGGTGGAAAGTACAACCTCAATATTGCAAAATCGAAAACCGATCAGTACAGAGGGGTCATGCGCAATCCTTTCAGACAAAATAGAGAGGGCCCTATTGCACAAATATCTTTCCACACGCACAAGCGCAGTTTTCCTATTCCAGTCCGAATCAACTGCACAACCTCTCACATGTGCGACACTTAGACAAAGGCTCAAACTTTTTTTTAGGGTTTGCAAACTAGAGCATTTGAAGTCAACTTTCCATTCTCTCAAGGGTGGCGCGGCTCCTCTCGCTCTCAGTTTGGGTGCGAGCAAGCTACAGTGATGCAAGCCGGTAGATGGGAATCAAACAATACCTTCCGTTGCTACGTAGCCCCTAAGACACATCCTCTACCCACAGATCCTCTCGCCGGCGTTTAGGTAGTCGTGTTTCAATTCTAGATTTTCTCTCTTGTAGTCCTGTAGCTGAGGGCACTATTTGCGCTTAGATTTTTTTTCAATGTAAATATCACGCACCAGTACCATATTCTGCAGCTGATACTTTGACATGATCCATTACTGCCACTATTCTTATATATACAATTGCTCACATTGCTCAGGTCACATTATCTCGCATATATTTCGCTGTCAGGTTCCATTGCTTATATAACTTGATGTGTCTCACAAATCTCTACGAGTAAGATTCTCTAGATCCATGTTAATTGAATGTTCTTTCCATAACATGCACGATAATCCCGATCATATCGCGCTCTACAACGGCGTCACCGTTTCTCGCTCGTATGTCATTCAGTTTATGCAACATACTCACTGTACTGCTGTATTATAATTCGTTCTCATCAAAATCCGCTCCAATACGTGCATCAAATAAACCTGTATTTCCACAGCCCCTGTTATGGTCAACAGTTCAAAATGGTATTTATACCAGAGTGTAACGGAGGTATAAAGACCGAAATTGAACACGGAACTTGTAAAGAAAACCTAAGCGAAGGCATCGTCATGCTGATGCTTTCTGTTGTAATTCTTTGATGAGGGAGTTCCGCAGTTCTTGTTTAGATGTAAAGCATTTTCACAAACAATTACGACTGAAGTATTTGAATGAGATTTATTGCTGTGATAAATGGCAGAAAGACAGACACGAGAGACATTAGGCACATGAGCAAGTAACTTAAGAGGGTAAGCCACGAGTCTGAAGCAAGATTGCGACATCATGTTCCCCATAGGACATACCGATTTGCGCTGAAGAATGCCGGTCAGGAAACTGTTTTGTCGTTCTTTCTTCACGAAACAAACTCATGCCCATTTTCTCCCGACACAGATTTTTTTTGTCGCGCATGTTTTCAATGATTTCACATTATCTTGTCTTGAGGGAGTCATTAGCCGGAGTGGAAACAGTTGAAGCGACTTATAAAACTTTATTTTACTGAATATAAACAACTCACAAAGGGATCAAAAATGTAGGGGATCATTGCAAAATCTCAAATATCAGCCTATTAATGAAAGCAGACAGCGGATCATCTACCAAGAAACATCTTTGAGGATAAACATGTGCTTGAAAAGTTTGGCGCTTATCGATTCAAGCAAAGAGATCTTTATAAGCGATAACGCAATAACAAGCATTTACAAACTTTTCTGTTTTACCAATGGGCACTTCCAGATAAGCTGAAGTGGTGGAGAGTTTAGAAGGGCAACAAACGTGACGGTTGCGACCGCGAGAGTTTCCGACAAGAAAATTGCATTAGGCAGAAATTTAATTGCATGCAAAGTTATGCAACGTATGCAAGGCCCAAAGTATAGCTCCAGCGATTCCATCAAACTGCTAACGCGGTAACATGACATTTTAGCAGATTTTGGCAATCCTTACAGATTTAGTCTATAGCTCCAATATGCATAGGCGCGTAGCTCAATATTGTCACGGACGCATTAAGTCTTGTGCTAGCAAAAAAACTTCTCCAATGAGGAGTCGTTGGATGTCGAATCGGTCAGAGACTGAAATCGCGTGAGATTTTCCTTAGGCCTAACGCATCACACTCGTACTAACCTGAGATGATACATGCCTGTAGAGATATAAAAGTATAAGGTAGTATACACATGTTTGGTGCGACAAAGTGGTACAGCGTGCAATTTTCATGATGAATTTATACAAGTGCACCGTGCACTCGAAGCTATCATTTCGTATCCGTACCGATCAAATTGGTATACTTCGTACCCATCCAGACCGAAGGCGCGATGACTACCTGCAAAAGCCCGGTATCAGACTCGAAATTCGCATGGGTAAGGGTTCAGAATGATAAATTTTATAAATGGCTCGGATCCAACTTCAGTGTCAGACACAAAGATTTTAATCGTTTGTGCTGGAGATGGCGATCAAGATAGTAATCTGGCCAACTCGAACACGTGATGCAGTCTTTCTTTTGTTTGGAGCAGTTTATACGATGAGTTCGCTACATTGTATACAATCCGTGTACTCATGCAAGACCTAGGGACTTACACAGAAGTTGAAGGTGGAGAAGGAAACTTCATGCGAGCCTACTTTTAGTGCAAACGATGGACTTATTGCGGTATATATATTATCGGCTAAAAGATTCGTGTAAAGTTGAGTTGCGGACTTCCCTTGATTATAAGGGTAAACTTGTTGATTTTCCACGTGATAGCATTGTTTTTCGACTCTCTCGCCATCAAAAACAGCCACGCTTTGAGCTACCACGACTCCGCCCCTACACCGATCGTGGAGCCGATGATACATCATTCTATATATCAGGATGACCCGAAAGTTCTGTTGCACCATTTTCAAAAATTCATAACTTCGGAGCTTGCCAACCAATTTCGTTGCATTCTTTTTATGCAAAAAAGCAAATCGTTTTCTTTATATCCGTGTCTCAGCGGCTCTCTAATGGGCATACATTGCATAGACAGAGGCGATAGAAGAAAATTACTCAAATTTTGAATTTTCTAAGTAGGGTCATAAAAAATCCAAAACATGCAGTAAAAATCGGAGCTGTCAGTGTTATAGGCTTGATTACCTGTTCTAACTGTGTAAATTCTTTGCGGGTTGAGTTTCTCTACGAAAAGTCATGATTTTCGAGCAATCGATACAAAATGGGCGAATTTGATTTATTTCGGCATTTTCTTAACATAACTCGTCATAGAGACGCTCAACCCGCACAGTTACACAGTTAGAACAGGTAATGGAGCCTATAATACTGACAGCTTCAATTTTTACTGCAAGTTTTGGATTTTTTATGACCCTACACAAAAAGTTCAAAATTTGAGTAATTTTCTTACATCGCCTCTATCTATGCAATGTATGCCCATTAGAAAGTCGCTAAAAAGAACTATAAAGAGAACGCTTGCACTTTCAAACAAAAATAAAAGTAAGCAAATTGGTTGCTAATCTCAAAAGTTATTATTTTTTGAAAATGATGTGACAGAACTTTCTGGCCAACTCAACCTTTGTGGCTTACCATACTGCTAGGTACTGTGGTGGATGTACGGTACACAACACTTGGGTTCATTGCAGTATATAATAACCAGAGTCAGATTTGCGTTAGATCGAAGGCAGGTAAGAACTCAAATCGATGTGCTGTTTTTGTAAGAATCTTAGTGAGCTAGCATGAGTACATTTTTCCTCCGACGTAGAGAACATCTTACTTCTTCAGTTTTTTTTAGAGAAAGAAGACAAACTTAGTTCTTCAACAAGCGACAGCAATCTACATATAGCAACAGGTGATGCAATGAATACTGCTAATGTTAACGTAAAGCGAGAGCAAGCAGGGACAATTGACCAATTGGCTTTCTTCGTTCGCGAAGGCAGGAATCAATTTTTCATAAAGCAAGCATATTTTCGGAGGAGGACTCAAGTAATGGACTTTTGATCTGCTCATGAAATTTTCTGCGCAACAATTATAACTCGAATTTTCTTCAGTCGCAAAAGAATCTCTGAAGTATAAGTTACTCAATGGTGCCAGCCAAATATGTCTGCCCACCCTTATATGCAAGCTTAGTACGTAAAAGTGGACGGTTTTGAAGAAAACCTTGCAGAATTCTAAAAATTTCCTTTCTCTCTCGCTTGCCTTCCTTACATAGCATAGTGTGCTTGCGATAGCCAGGGTCAGGCGTGGGATATGACACGCCACACCTGGGGGGTCGTACTGAGTGGTAGGAAGGGGCGGGGGGGGGGGGGAGGTCGTTGTTGAGGTGAGCTGATGTTAACGATAACATGATATCCGTTAATAATGTCAGATAGGCACTGTGTAAAGTATTAGGTTGGTGCAAAAGTAATGCGCGTTTTTCTAGCCCTTGTTTCAAGATAGCTTTTCTCCATCAAAGTTTCTCCTATAAAACTTAACCAGCATACCGTTAAGAAGCTTCTTTTATGCTTTATTCAATGGTGGTTGGAAGAAGCTTCTAGCCTCATTCGTTAAAAATTTCTAGAGCTTCATACAACCGCACTTCAAACCAGAATTTCATTGCATTTACTTTTTTGGCCAGAATTTGAGCACGAGTAAACGCATTCTCTTGAAAATTTAACTACTGTATTTAGTATAAATTTTCTACGTTATGCATGCTTTACTATTTTCTCAGAAATTATTTAGACTGAGATTTCGGCGCCTCAACATGAGTGATGGTTTTGACCATTCTGTGGCCCATAAATTTCCTTTGAAGAGAGCAATCGCCAAAGCTTCGCTCATTTCATTAAGCGTAAGGGTGGGCCTTTTGTTGACAGTTTTTGCGGAAATGTGGAAGCTGTTCAGTTCACAGAAAATCAAAAATTTCCATATTTTGGGATTTTGAGGGCTACGAAAAAATGTCGATAAAAGCGGACAATTTTGAATATAAAATATATATATTATTTATATTTGTATTTATAATATTTATATTTGCATAGGTATGGAAAAACGGTTATATCTTTCCAGAAACGATTTCAAATGAATTTTCTACTATGTAAAGAAGAAGGTTGAGCAATAGCAACGATATAAATATTTTTTCCTTTTCGCAAGTCTTCTTTGTTTGAGCCCCTTTCACCTTTTTCTTGTACTACTGGCTTACGGCTACAAGACAGTCAACTTTTCATTTATATCAACAAATCTTGCAGGAAGTTATGATCAGTTAAAAACGAGGTTTCCGAAAAAAATTCTTTGCTTATCAATTCATATTTTTCCACCGTTTTGCGAAGTTAGCATAAATTAATGTGCGCTGTATAGAGAGAGGTTTGGTGCCTCTGATGGACTTTGCCGCACCGAGAATGAACTTTTTAGAAGGTTATAGCACGTCAAAGTGAGAACTCGCAAAACGCGCATTACTTTTGCACCAACCTAATATAATAGCACATCGATGTTTTGGCCTACCATCGTATACATACCGTAAGCGTAATAAAAGGACACTATAAGCATGAGGGCATTATTTTCTAAATAGAGGGTCAAATAATCCCTGTGGTCCAAGTTACAGCGATTTCTGAGATTTCCAAATATTGGGCCATCCAAGTGAGATAGTCATTTTTAAACATGTTACCTTCATTTCAAAGGTGAGTTAACTATATTCTACTCTGAATACAAAGAACTACTGCTTTTTTGCTCACATTGGGAATCCTACTTCGAATAACATCCAAACTATGGATTTACGAGCAAGCCAGAATCCCATTTCTTCCAATTTCCGCTTTCCATATCTCAGAGTACAGAAGACCAATCAGGCTCAAATCACTTTAATGTAAATTACGAGAACTAAGCTATCGTATACATCATTCTTGTGGCCTTACATTGTGATTTGCATAGTAGCGCAGACTGGGCATGTTAACGTAATCCAATATTTTCGCAATATTTTATATTTGCATAGGTATGGAAAAACGGTTATATCTTTCCAGAAACGATTTCAAATGAATTTTCTACTATGTAAAGAAGAAGGTTGAGCAATAGCAACGATATAAAAATGCAGAGATTTGAATGATTTGAAGGTGAATCAATGGGGTGCGGCACAACCCCTAAAAAGCTGTGGCCGCTACAGCTTTTTAGGGGTTATGCCACACCTCATTAATATGCCAAAAAAAAAACATTTTTGGTGAACAATATTCATATGAATCGATAGCCTAGATCTCGTATTTCACAGGAGCGATTTGAGCCCACTTTTCTTCTCAACTCTGAGTAGTATTTGGTCAAAGCACAGCCATCAAAAGCGAAAAATGGCGAAAACGAGATTTTGGATGGTTTCTAATTCCACAATATGGAGGCCTTTTGAAGCGGGATCTGCGAGGGGACAAAGAAGGAGTAGTGCTTTGTCTTGAGTGCAAAAACAGGTAGCTGATTCACCTTTCAAACAAAGTTAATCATGTTGGAAATGACCAATTCATTTAGGTGCCTAGTCTCTTGAATCTACAGAATCGCACAAACTTTGTCTACAGGGGCTAAAGGACAAGCTAATCATAGATATCTTGCCCGTTATGCGACAGGGCCTTCAGGTAATGCTATCTTAGGTATATAATTCAGGGGGGGGGAGGGGTCTTATTAAGACAGCAGTCAGGGGAGGGGGGTCGTAACCAGCGATCGTGTGCACCTCTTGCTTGACCCTGGGGTAGCCATAAACTCGCATAAACCAGCAAAATTTGATATTTTATGAGATGATGATTTGGAAAAGAGTTACAACATTTTGAATCATAAAATTGCAAATCGGACAGGACTTTTGAAGGGATAAAAGAAATGTAGGGCACACGCTTTTCGAAGTACCACTAATGAGACGCAAAGATTTTTTTCCACATTGTGGCGGACAGTGACGGAGCCAAATAGCTGAGTAATAAGACTGTGCATTGAACTTATAATTTGCTAGCAATTCAAAATAAATACAAGAACTGAATTGGCCCTCCTGGTACAACTTTCCTGCTATAGACTTTCTAAAAGTGCAAAAGCGTTCAAGGGAATCGATTCTGGGTCATTTCTTTTCATCTCTCCCCCCCCCCTCTTCCCTTACCCTCTCACTGAAGAAAACTAGAAAAAGCAGGATACTCCTCAAGTGCTTGTGTTGTTGCCATCGCAGGTCCAGGATGGGACCAAAGATGAACGCTGTGCCCAATACACACGTGATTATTTGAAATGACTCAATCTAAGTGGTTTTTTCGCACCCGTTTGATTCCGGAAGTCCCATAACTCCAGGAGACACCCGTTTTTGACGATAGCGGCCACAGGCGCGTCGTCCCACTGAAATAATGGGCGTTGTGTGAACACAGAAAAGGTACAGCAGAAACAACCACGGCTCCAAGCACTCCATTGCCATTAATCCTGATCCGCAGAGCATTTTTTGGGTCGCAGTCCGGTGTTGAGAAGAGAATAGAGCAGCATCGAGTGCAATCTGATAATTGATCAATCTCGCATTTGGTCGTCGCAACTTTCATCAGCGCTGCCAGAGCGATACATCTCATCCACATCTGCAGATTCTACTCAGATAGATCCCATTGAGGTCCTGAAATGTGATGAGTGCAATTACATATGAGGTATGCATCCTTATGTTATAAAAGTGTTTAAGATGAACTCAAAGCCGGCTGAAATTCTAAGACAGGAAAACAGAAAAACATGGATTTGGAGGTGGGCATGCAAGACAGGCTGTAACCTGAGATTCTGTGTAATCACGACATTACTGCCTGCCCCAGGAAGGTTAAAAAGAGGTGTACCATTTCACAATATTTACACTAAATTCGGAAATGCAGTGGCCTGCCTCCACTAAATCATTGATAGCCCTCGCAAAGAGTTGCAAATCCTAAATTTGAATTTTTACTGGTTACTTCTGTTGTAGTTTAAAGAAATGTTTTTGAGCTCAGTCTATAATATATGGAAGCTTACTGACAATGAAAAACTTCTAAATATATTACGATGCGAGATGAGTCTAATAACAGCTTTGCCCATCTAAATTCATTCATCCGCACACGTCAAGCCAGAAAATTAGGAAGGTAGAGAGAGGAGTCACTTTTCTATCCTGTTCAGAAATGGCATTAAATTCCATCCTCGTAAGTTATTTTCGAAACTTGATCGCTGATGACCAAAACAAGTTAATCATGCCGTTGTCGACCACAATTTTCCAGTTGGCATTGCCAGCATATAGAAATGGATTTACACGAACCAGAAATCTTGACATTTCGATCAGTATACTCCGCCTTTAGCAAGTAGGTAGTTTAGTGAGGTCCAAGTATGTAGATAGGAGAAAATGCTCTACAAGTTGAATCAAACGAATACTTCTTGAGCATAAAAACTTATAATATTCCAGAAATTTTGATGCAAGACTTATAGACCAACCTAATATCAGATTGCAAAGAAAGTTCCCAATTCTTGTCATGTAATTATAAGCTCCTGCAAGACGAAGGCGGTCGGTTCGATGTGCAACGCGGCTGCGACATTGCTGCGTCACAGCCGCGTCACAGGCGCGTCACAGCCACGTCGCACATCAAACCGACCGCCTTCGTCCTGCAGGAGCTTATACTAAAAATAAATGTGAATGCAAGGGGCTGATTTGAAAAGTGTTCTTAGTGTGCAAGGACCTCAGCTACCAAATACGCTATTCAGTTTTGAAAAAAAAAACGATAAAGCAAGAAGAAATGCCCAAAAAAGGAGAAAAATTTGTTGTGCTTGGGTCTGCAAAAAGGCACACTTTTCAGATTATAAACGCGCAGAACTTGCAGAAGCTCGATTTGAGGATTTCTTTTATACACTTTGTATTGGTTAGATGAAGCAATATCCAACTATAACTTGCTCCGGTATCTGCTTTTTCTAAAGAAGAAACAGCTCATTGATTTGAGAGCTCAAAAACAGAACTCTCCATATGTTTCGACGCAGCCAGTTTTCTTGGAAAAGAGCATCCTTGATATACATAAGCAGTAGTCCAAGGTTACCAGTACACATGACCAAAACATTGTTGATTGACAGCCACTTATGATGAAGATTTAATAAAACAATTTGTGTCAACCTCTATTGGCAGAACTTTCTTTACTACCCGATATCATACAGTTCCTCATTTTATTGCATGCATGTCAAGAATGACCACATAGTGCACCTACATGCACCAAATTTGATATTTTTTGCGTTCGTAGAGTTAGAGTTTGACTGAAAAAATATGTCGATGCGAAGGTTTTTCCGTCTTTTGGACTCACCCGCAAACCTAACAAGGGAATGGTCAGAAGTCGAAGTGGCCAATCCAAACAAGCTGCATACCATTCGATGCAGCATCGAACGCTGATTTCAAACCTTCCTTCCGTATCTGCAGAGCACCTTTGTAGGCGAAGTTATGAGCAGCTTTACTGCGAAAAAATCGTACGCAAAAATTGCGAGACTAGGCACACTGTTGCTGTTTTAGCTCACCTTTGAGTACGAGCCATATGAAGAGATCTAGTTGCATGTTTTAGTCCAACACTGTGCCGAGAGTGGCTCTGCACGGCCAAGTTTGACCTTTACACGCATGATTTCCTAGCAAAATTATGGCCTTTAACGGCTTATAATTTCATCCACAAAAGCGCTCTGCAGATAAGGAAAGCAGATTTAGAGCCAGCGTTTTATGCTGCATCTAATGGTATGCAGCTTGTATGAATTGGCCACTTCGACTTCTGACCATTCCCTTGTAAGAAATTCTTTGAGCAGTACGCTATGAAAAATCTTCCTTTTTCCAGCGGTCATGTTTGCGATGCGAGTCCTCGACGCGCACTAAAATAATCGCCAAATACAACTCTTTATTTTTACCGTGTCTGACTTCCGCTATGTTTTTGAATTTTATGTGAGTCTTGTGAAGGTGCCTTGATAACCAGCTGATGGGCAATTTTGCAAATCGATGCCATTTTCTTGTACCCTTTAGCCCGTTTTTTTAGAATTTTACTGAATTATTGTATAAAAGTCTTGAGTTCTGAAAGCGAACTTCATGATATGGAGATTCCAAAGCTTGATTATTACTAACATCAATCTTACGAAATAAATGTGTGACTATATAAAAACCTGGAAACTTTAAAATTTTCGGTACAACACTGGGCGACCACGAAATTAAGGACTTCGGCAAATTTGTTTGCGAGATCTTGCATACATATATTGCAAAGAAAAGATGGCTGTTAGTGAGAAGAGAAAAAGCTGCTGGTATTTGAACTGTATACTGCTTCATGTATTACGAGGCCATAGAACGAATATAATATTGGTCATTATAGAGAATATATACTCTAGTAATTCTAAAAAGACCGACAAATAAATGGCATTGATTTGCAAACGGTTTGCCCTATCAGCTGTATCAAAGCACCTTCCCAAGGCTCGGAATAAAATTACTGGAAATTAACGAAATTTAGTTTTGACAAGAATGAAGGGTTGTAAGCTTTGAAGATATTCATCAGCGGTCGTCGAGGCACTCGAATTGTGAGCATGAAAATGGAAAGAGGAAGAAATTCCGCATAGAGAACCGCATAAAGAATCTGTTCACCTTTATTTTACAGGGTTTAGAGTAGGTCTAAAAAATTGAAAGAACTTCTGTACCACCTAATATGTGAAGGCTCACAGAACTCAACGCACTGCGGGAGTCTCATGAATATTCACATCACAGACGAAAAGTAATGACTTTCTTGTGCAAATCAAGAAATAACGAACGAAATAGTTATGCAACAGCCATTTGGTTTATAACCATGAGTCACATACTGCTGTAAACGTTGTTTCCACTTCAAGGAAATACGAAAGCGACCACAACGTTTACGTTTGGGGTAGAAGGTCATCACCATGATTATATAAGGTGACTAGTGGTGAGGCATCGGTTAGCTATGCACGTGTGATAAGAGCTCGTTTAGTGTTTACACACTCGCCCGTAAGGCTGTGTAAATCATCAAAACTCGTATGGTTCAAAAACGGCATTAACGGAGAATCGAGCTTTGGCAAATGCAAAGCTAACATATGCGAGAAAACCTTCTGAATGCAACTCAGGTGCGCAGTCGGAAGCATTATTAACGCTTTATATCCCGAGAGTGAAAACCGGTACGAACGTCATAGATTCCATGTTAAAAAAATGGTATCGAATTCCGTTTAGAGTAGTGACTCAAGGAATGACGTTAGCATAATGCTGGGCATCATCAGCCTCCATTTTTATAGCAATGACGTAACGTCATCTTACGTGCTATACATCACTACAACCTCCATACTCCCTTATATCAAAGATCCTTCCCATGAGAAGCTGACAATGATTGCAAGACATGTTAGAGACGAAAAATTGCTTAGAAAACACAAGCTGCTTTTCATGAGATCAAAATATGGACATATTGGTAGAGCATAGTCAAAAACTCTGATTAATAGTTATTGAAGACGTAAAGACAACGACACCTTCGGAAAAAAGTTCACGTCGCTGACACCTAACAAAACTCTTCAAAATATTTTCAGGTTATTTTTTTTAAAGGAGGAGAATATCGCTGACGCTTGGCAATCGAAGCAAATGTATCGGACAAGGTGGAGGCGGAGAGTGTGATTAATTATTGTTGGCGAGCAATTGATAAACGAGAGAAACTGTTGCACGTAGTTCTTATGTTGTCTTCTTTAATATTTACTTACTACCTCCAGTATTTTCGTGATTTGTAAATATCACATGTCACAAAATACCTTGGAAACGAGACCACGACGGATGACGAGTGTGCCTTCAGCGGTCTGCACTTCGGTCTAAGACGACATTAGCATCAATGCGAGATGTGTCTGCTTCAGCCCTGAGGTGGCATAACTTATAGATCGTAGATCCTACTTTGGTCTCAGCTACAATCGATACATTCTTCAAAAGCGACATGCAAGAATTCCACTGCTAGATAATAGAGAGCGTATGAAGTGCCTCAAAAATACGTTGGTGCTAAGGAACTATAATAATGGGAATAATTTGAATCGCACTTGCAGTACATTTGCGCGATACCACAGTCAACGTATTTTAGGACCAGTGGTGTTGAAAATCGTACTATCATATAATACAGCTATTGGAAAAGTGTTTACTGATAAGATTACGTAAAGCCCCAGTATAAGTCTGAGTTTCTCAGTCTTGACCCACATCAATTCTTAGGGATTATGTAAGTTCTTAGGTAGAAGAAGAGACCAATGCTCACTGTTAGCTAATCCTCTGTATAGAGAGAGCTTCTAATGGAGACAAAACAAGAAGGAGACTCGTAGCGATGGGGAAAGTGATGGATCTTACCTTCATTTCAAATTCGGAGTTCGAAAAAGTCGATTTTGAGATTTTGAGCTGATCTGGGCTTATCGTTATAAATAGGAAAATCCACATGAGAGGGCAAAAGCGGCGAAAAAGTGCTCTAACCCATGAGAGAAATCAGTATTTGAGCGCCCCCCTCTCTAAGAAGTCACTCTCCCAGCTTCAGGGGCACCTCTCGATTCTAAACGCCTTGGCATTGCCACCAGTCAAGTGCGAAAGCATGATTTGAAGTCGCAACTGAGAAAATCGCTCCTGAAGCTGGGAGTGAAATCCCGAAGGGGA